GGATCTTATTTCACATTTAAAATGAGCAGCCTTTTCTATTGGAGCTTATTCAGTGGGATATATGGAGCTTTCAATATTATATTGATAAAATACCTTAAAATAGATGCAACAATTTTTATTTAAAAACAACCTCCCACAATGCTCATAAACACATACTGTACTGCACATTGAATATCTCTGAGGTGATAACTGTTACAGTTAACGTTAAGATTTGACAGGGTTTAATTGGCATAATCTGCACCCCACAACAACTCTTTCCACAGTGAAAAACACTGCATAATATTTCCTGTGTTTATTGTTATTATATACTGTATGCTTGTTATAGATAAAGCTGTATTAGATTGCATTCTTATCTGCAGTATGACTCAGTACACCCAAAGGCCTTAATTCCCATTCCACCATTTGTACAATCCAAGATGTATTTTTTACAAGATCCCAAATGCTTCAAATTTGTGAGGAAATGTAATGTTTTATTTCTAGAAAATGTTTAGATAAGATCACCACCTGTGTCTTATCGAAATCCTCTGTTCCTATTATAGACTGAAAAATGGCTAATGTGTCAATAAAAAACAAGATGACAACATAGTTCCTCTAGTCATCAAGCAGCAAGATGGCACCTCAGTGAACAGGTTGTTATTCAGAGAAACTTTACATTTCTGTAGAGAGATCGATCTAAGACATCTAGTGTATTATAAGGACTTCGTAATAGAAGTAACAAACGTCATAACAGAGAAAACAAAAATTCTATAAGAATAGTTTATCCACAGTAAGACTGATCCTTTTGGGAGATTTATAATAGGCAGCCTTCCTTGTATAGAGTATACAGAGCATGGTATAGCACATGCAAATACAGTAAACTCAAGGAAACATCAAATGTCGTTTATTAACAATCACCATTCACTAAATGCATGTACAGCAGTTCACAGTATTACCTACAAAATGTGCAGCTGTACTTCAGAAAACTAAAAGACCTTTGTAATGCAGTGCATGTGCAAAATATTGGAATTAACACCAAAAGATTCAGTAGCAACAACTACCTTGCTGAAGACATCAGTGGAATTAGGCAGTTCTATGGAACATATGCTGCACTAATCAGGAAGAAAAGGGGGCATAAATGTTAAATTCTTGAAACATCTTGTAATGAATTTATCAATAAACTATTTTAGCACATTCAAATCTTACTTTAGTAGTTACTTACTTTAACCCACGCCTCCTGGTGTCACATTGTATTCCATTACTTCTAAGCACTGTTTACAACTCATGATAAATACTGCCAGAAGAAAAAAAAAAACAGAATTTACCATTAATTCATAAGTAGGAATCCGCAGCCAATGTTTTTGTGAAAGTAAAAAATCAACTATCATATGTAATTTATGAATCACACTATCAGTGATGATCAGTAAAACAAAAGCCTGAAAAAAAATCTCTAAATATAAATTAATTTGTTGTCATTATTAGTATGGAAGATTAGCGCCACAGAGAAAAATAATTATTTTTTCTGTTCAAATGAGAAACCTTTTGTGTTTATGCGAGATAGTACTGCATTTAAATGAGAAACCTATTGCGTTTATACCAGACCCAGCGCCACGGGGGAGAGGGAGAGGGGACAAAAGTGGGCGTCGCCCCCTCAGTTTTGGGGAAAAGGATTTTTGAACACTTTCGCTTACTTAACTTGCGCCCTAAAAATTAGTTGTACTTTGTCAATAGTCAGATAACTATACTAATCCTGAATTCAGAGTTTCAACATCGGATTGTTTGATTTGCAGGAGGGCTGTATCAGTCCAGGAACGGCACATATTACATCGTGTCTACGTTATTGGGTATCAGCATTATTACGATCTTATTTGTTCAGGTGGACCGATTCCTTGTAGTAGTTAATCCTTATACTTATAATTGTTATATAACTAGGACTGTAGTTATAGAACTTTGTGCTTTCTGTTGGTTTTACAACTATTTTTTCTTAACGATTCAGAACCTCGCTACGTCGATGTAGCTGCAAAAATTAACGAAGATGGTTATTTTGTCGCTCCGGACAATAATAATCGCGAGAGTGCTGATGAACGTGAAACTGTACTTCATCGCTAAATACCAGATTGGTCGTAGTTATCTTCTATCATGAAGCACTAATCAGTGGCATGGTTGCGAGATTTCACTTCTTTACTCCGTTTCAACCGAAATATCACCGCCCCCCTCAGAATTTCAGACGTCCCCCGACAGATTTTTCACCTGGCGCCGCCCCCGGTTTACACACTGTGCTAAAATGTGATAATTCATTCGTTAACAATACTGTTATTGTTGGTCAATCGCTGAAGCTTTACAAACCTCAAAGGATTTTAGACTATGCTTAAATCATATACATTTTTGTATTTGAAATTACATAGCAAAATGCAGAAAAATTATCATCTGATGCGAGAAGAAATATTGTTTTTGTCCGTTTGCAGAGACATGAATATAAAAAGATAGGAGACTGCCAAACAAAAAGAAAAAAACAATTCCAGTTTGTACATTGGCAGCTTGCTGTTTACTGTTACCAATAATAACTGTCACAGTAAGCCAACAGTAGGTATATATCTTAATATCATCGGAAATATATTCCATTACATATTTAAAGAGTAGGCAAAACGTTACAGTTTCACATAAAGAATAACATACATTTGGAAAGCCGTGTCATTTCCACAGCCACACGGTTAACCCAGGAATGCTCACAGACAGGGTTTTATACTTGAACAAAGAAGAAAATGAACAAAATGAAGCATAAAATGAGCAGTCTTAGAAAACCCGATGACCCGTAAATGTGAAATTGTGAAATCGTGCCACCTGCAGAAGTTCTCAATCGACTCTGCAATTGTGGGATGTACTGAGGGAGGGCAGAAGGAAGAGTACAGAGGACTGATTAACAGCTTTGTGGAGTGCTGTTGGGAGAACCACCTGCAAATTAACATGGCAAAGACGAAGGAGTTGGTGATAGACTTCAGGAAGAAGAGGGTCAACCTACTCCGATCTGCATCCATGGGAGTGGCGTGGAGATAGTTGACTCGTACAAGTACCTGGGTGTTCACATTGATGATAGACTGGAATAGACTAAGAACACGGAAGCCATCTACATAAAGGGCCAGAGCCGACTTTACTTTTTGAGAAGGCTCAGGTCCTTCAACGTGTGTACTAAGATGCTTCATATGTTCTATCAGTCTGTTGTAGTAAGTGCCATTTTCTACACGGTGGTGTGCTGGGGCTCTGGGATTTGAGCAGGGGATGCTTACAGGCTGAACAAGCTCATCGAAAGAGCAAGTTCTGTCATTGGGTCTGACCTGGACCCCTTGGAGGTAGTGGCTGAGAGGAGAATGGTGTCCAAATTAATGGCCGTCATGCACAATGTCTCCCATCCCCTCTATGACATGCTTGTGAGAATGAAGAGCACATTCAGCAATAGGCTGATCTAACCACAGTGCAACAGGGAGCGCTACAGAAGGTTATTCTTGCCTTCTGCCATAAGACTTTACAACTCATCCACTGTGTGTCTGGGCAGGGGCAACATTGATCTGTTTTTGGATTAAACATGAATTTTCTGTTTACAGCTGGTTTTTCTGTTTACAACTGATGTACAATATATGTTGGGTATTTGCAACATATGTGCAATACATCTTCTTTTTACTGTACATTCTGGTTTGTTTTGTATCTGCTGTACTATTTGCAATTCCAGATACTCCATTTTTAATTTACTTCTAATTGACTGTACTTACTGTATTGTATTGTTGTATTATTGTATACGGTTGTTACACTGTGCTGTGTGGACTGTGCCAGGCTGCTGTTGCACTGCAATTTCCTTCATGGGATTAATAAAGTATCTATGAACAGAGGTACACATACAGCACAAACTCCATCCAGATGGCACCTAGGTCTGAAATTGAATCCAGGGTACCAGCACTGCAAGCACCACTGTGCTGTCTACAGTAAAATAATATACTTTTAATTTTATTTATACAGCATTATTTCAAAGATACCCTAACATATACAGTGGGGTTGAAATTGCATAATATGATAAGACGGAGACCCACGTGTATGAAAATGTAAAATGCATACTATATATAATGCCTTTCAAATGTATTCAGACCCTTAGACAGTTTTCTTTCTTTGTTCTTTTAAAGCTTGCAGTCTTGATATTCTGAAGGAAAATTAATATTTGTTATGTATGAGACAAATCCCATCCATTCTAAGCAAAAAAAACGAGATTATTAATGTTAAAGACAAATGGAAACTCATGATGTCTAAACTATTCAAAACTTTTTCTAAATTAATTTAATTTCATAGAATTACCTTAAAATGCCTTACAATTATTGTATATTTGTGCAGTAGTAGTAGTTTACATGATTTCAGAATACTGTAAATACACTTATCTCTGTATGCTCCCTCAGGCAGGTAATGAATTTCAGGCTGCCACCTTAGCACATAATATAATAATAATAAATAATAATAATAATTATAAATTAATACACTTACTGAAAAATTAATGGTAACTGTAATCTGAAAGTGGTTAATACACATATATTTTATTAATGGAGTCCACAGAATATTTCAAAATCATATATGAAAAAGCATTAAAACTTCAAGGTATATTTAGGTATATTAAACGCTATTTTAATATAATATTCTTTTCTTAAATAAATCAAATATATTACGTTCGTTTTTATCAATGTGCTTCTGATACTACTGTGTGTAAATACAATTACAAGGGACCATCACATATTGAATGAAGTGATCTCTGTAGCTTAAAATGACCATTTTTATGGTTAAAAGCAGCAAAAGTACGACACATTAAATTAAATGGACGAAATTCCAAGTTATCACTTACAACAGAAGCAATTACCCGGGCTTTGCAGCAAGTTATCTAGGAAGTTTAAGTTTGTGAACAGTAAGTATTCCAACCCATCTGTGCGCAATCAATTCTATCGATACATTGTGTTCCACCCACTTACTACCTTTCCAGAGGAGGGGTCACATCCCGAAGTCTGTGTTGCCAGAGAACCTTTAGTTTCACAGACTTCCGTGATTTTTTTTCTTACTTCCTGGTTAGTTTTTCTTCCCCTTCTTTCTGTAAACTGCGGTGAAACGGGCAGAACGGATAGTGTGCATTGACCCTTTCGTGTAATGGACATCTTATAGATAACTGTATTATAACACTGAAACAGAACGGAATATCAACAAGTCTCTGTCATTAGGCCCGTTGGCCTTGGTTGGGATTTTTGTAGGTGAGTAATTCGTGTGTACGTGTAAACTTCTGATGGTTGATCGATGTTTGTGTATGAATGCTAAATCCGCATATCTGCGATGTAGTAGTACAAAGTTGTTTTATGACATGTATGATTGAGCTATACGTCTGTAAACAAAGTCAAATCAGTTTTTTCGGAACTTTTGTTTGCACAGCAGCTTCCTTCTCCGTTACTTTGTAAAAAAAAGGCTTTGTGGAGGTCTCGCCGTGAGGGTACGGCTAAGGAAAACTAGTAAAACAAACTCTACGGTCCTGAATAATTATCTACGATTACGTTTCCTTCTAGTAGAGCTGGGACGTACGAAGTTAGTGAAATCTGATCACAATTAAATGTACTTTTCCCGTCTTTGTGAAGTGTTTCTTAATGCCATGCAGATTCCCTTCCCAGCACATTTTGGTTACAAGCCCAATTTACGTGGTCACGTTTGAAATCGAACTAATCAGGAAAAGGTGTGTCAAAATGGGTTTTCCACTAAATGGAAAAAAGAAAATAATCAATTTCATATAAAGAGATAAGCAACATAAAAACATGCACAGAGGATACGTATACCATCTGATAAGTTTAGTTATCGATTGTTTACGTACGTCACATATGGAAAAAAAGGCCAGCTATAACATCCAGTTTGAATGAATGGGAAGAGCTCTTACAGTACCTGTTCAGTTAGGCAAAGCTATTAGTAAATCCAGGGACTGCAGTGAAAGTGAATGAGCAACATAATTCTCTCCCTCTGTTGCTCTGCCCATAGTGGTTTGAAGTGGAGCAATCTTGAAATGTGTAGGCCTGTTGGGAGTTTCTTGTTCCATGTCTGCACCTCTGATTCAGAAATGAGCACTTGTGATTTGCCAATGATATTTATCAAAAGAAAATTAATATTCTTTTCAACCCTTATTTTGCAGACTTAAATTTGAGATGGCGGGCTTGGGAAACAGTCGCCGAGGTGGGAGGTCTCTACTTTTAATTGGTGCCTTAATTGCGTGCACGGTAGTGCTGGGTTTCAACTACTGGATATCAAGCTCTCGGAACATAGAATTGCAGGTGAGTTTATGCTTCCTGTCTTTTGTTTAGAGAACTTGTCAGTGTGATGATACCATAATCAGAGTAAGAACCGCGAAAGAGAGGAAAATTATATCCATTGTTTGAAGCAGCGTATATCATTAACTTGTGTTTGCCAGTGCTACTGCAATTCTTTGAAATTACTTGAGGAAAAAAAGCAAAAACACACAGCAGGTACCACTGAAGTTTCCCACATGAAATATGTGACAGCATTTAAAATTATATTTTTTAAATGTTAAAACTATTACACCAATCTTATGATTTGTGATTGCATAAGCATTAATAAAACAGTAGTAAAACTATGCAAGGAGAGACCTTGCAATATATATATATTTCTTTTAAAAGACATTCCCAGCTTGCAAAGAACACATTGATGACAGTTTTATCATGAGGTTAAAAGAACTTGTCAGTGTAATAACATAATCAGGGTGAGAACAGTAAAGCAGAGGGATGTACAGTATGATATCCTTTATTTGAAATAGTGTTAATTAAATTGTGTTTCCCAGTGCTAATGCATCTTTTTTAAGTTATTTGAGAAAAAGCAAAAACATACTGCAGGTACCACTGAAGTGCCCTTCATTAAATAACAGGATTTTGAAGTATATTTTTAAAAATGTTAAATCTATTACACTGATCATATGGTGTGCATTAATGAAATAGTGATTAAACTATGCAAGGGGAGAACTTGTAACACTATTTTTTTCTCTTTGACATTTGCAGTTTTGCACAGAACAAATGTGCAACGTTTTTGGTGTGCTGGTGAAAAATAAAAAAAACTTGGGAATACTTGGGAACGTTTTATGTTTTGTGACCTGTTTTTAATTGGTGGTTTCCCTGAGAGGAACGTCATTGCTGTTTCTTGTGTAATGCTTGGCTTGAGAATTGGAACTCAGACCTCTACTTTGTGTTTTGTTTTAGACTCGTGTATATGAGTTGGAAGGCAATGTCCGGCGGGCAGCCTCTGAGAGAGGGGCTGTGGAACTGAAGAAGAATGAATTTCAAGAGCAGCTTCAAAGGCAGAGTGAGCAAATGAATCAGATTGAGTCTCTGTATCGGCAGCAGCTGCAGAGTGCGCAGGCGTCCTGGAAGGGTGAAAAGGTACTGCACTCAGATTGATAGTGTACTCCAATGGAACAATACAGACCGTCTAGGTGGCCCCATATGGTTTACTGCGCTTTTTAGCACTAGTGCTGTTCACCACACTGTCCAATACCCAGCTTGCCCTCCTAAAGCGAGTCATCATGAGCTTGGTTCTAAATCTTCAACTGGGCGCTGTTGCATGGAAGACAGTTTTAAAAGCGATCTAGTAATTAGATAAGTAAATAAGATTATAGCAATTATGATGCTGTAGCATGTGGTGATTTCTGCTGATTTTAGCAGCAGTGCATTTGTGCAGAAATTACATATGCATCAGACATTGAAGTCTCAACCCAATAACTGGATGGAAAACGCCCTTCACCTTTGTTTTACTGGAGTAAAACAACAAAACAACCTTTGTTTTACTGGCGTTTCTTAGGTAATCAGGTGCTTTGTGGAGTGCTTGGTTAATCTCACTTAAAAAATTCTTCATATCTAAGTAAAGACAGCTGTGCCGGGGGGAAATGTCATTTTTTGCTCTGGGCTTGGGGAAAAAAGTGTTTCAATGAAAGTTTCTCAGTTCTCAGTAAAGTATTTTTTTACACGTTTGACTTGAATGAGAAGCAAAAAGCACAAAAAATATAGCTCATTCCACTTCTTTCTGCCCATGCTGGCGTTAATTTAAATATACTCTTGCAGAAGAGTTAGAGCTTTTGAAATAAAACAATACTGTACGTGCAGGAAGTTTTTGTTCCATGACATTTTTTTGCATTCCATTTAGTAATGTATTGTGCATATCCAATTCCTGGTGGTCAGTAGGTCAATTCAGACCTTTCTTCAGAAAAGTACTCACTAAATAGAAACTTAATTGCTGTTTAGAGTGTATTGTACCATCAGGTTTCTCGTGTGGAATAATAGTCTTGCACTACTGGGTCCTGTCTGTACTTATTTTTATGATAAAATCAATCAGTCCAAAAATCCATAAATCGAAGTATGACTCGGTGTTCACAGCATCAGACAAAGACATGGGTTTTGACACCTTCCCAGTTGTAAGTAACAAGCCTGTTATTTGTTGGTAGGTTTTTGTTTGATAGAGGCCTTTTTCATTTACTCTATTGTATTCTGCTGAGAAATTCTATCTTAATTGTTCGTGTTTGACAGATCAATCAACATAACCTTGATATGAAATGGGCCAAAAGTCTGAATATTTCATTTACGGAGATCAGGCTCAGAGCAGGAAAAGAGAAGAATTTCATGTGCTTCAATGCTTACAGAGCCAGAAGAAGAAAAACGTGTAATTTTAAACTACATAAACAGACTTCCTTTTTAATGATGTCAATGAAATTTTAGTTTGGAATATATCCCCTTGATACCTGGTTCTAAAGTGCCTCACCACTTCCAAACAAAATTGGTTTTGGATTGTTTTTGTTGAACACTGACTTTTTTTGGCTCTTTTTTTGTACAATTTTGATATTGCTCTGATTAATGGAGAACTGACAATGAATATTGAATATAGGCTAATACACAAGGCTGAAATACTTTTTACATTTGCATAATTTTTATATTAGACATGAGATACTTAAATCTTGATTTTATTGTACAATTCTATTACTAATCAGATTCAAGGAGCCAAGATAAAGTGAATGGTGATTAAGTGCTTATAGTTAAAGCACAGACTACTAGAAACAAAATGTATGAGAAGCGACTAATTCAACAGGTGGTTATGATGTAATTGGAAATTCACAGAAATACGGCTAATGGAAAGCAATGATGATGAACAGAATATTAGTGGAAACAGTGTGCCAGAGAGACATGAAAAATGGAAGAGGCAGATGTGTAGCACCATATTTCAAATATTCAGCATTCACTCTTAGGAACTTAAATTATGGGAATCAAGAGCCTTTGAATCTATGTGAGTTAGACTCATTAAGAAATGCCAAAAAAGGCACTTTGTTAACAGTTTACTTCGGACCACAAAGAACAGATATTTATTATAATTCACCCTTTTATAATGAAATCCAGAACAAACAGCACATGGCTAATGACTGCTCCCATGTTCTGTTTGTCAGAACCTGCACAACAAAGTGCCTGTAATGATCTAATATTAGTCTAATTTCAAACAGTCAGCATAGAGTTTGAAAACAGAGGTCATAAAGAGGTGGACTTTGATGTTGAATATTTTAATAATAATAATTGCTTACACTTACATAGTGCTTTTCTGGACACTCCACTCAAAGCGCTTTACAGGTAATGGGGACTCCCCTCCACCACCACCAATGTGAAGCATCCACCTGGATGATGCGACGGCAGCCAAAGTGCACCAGAACGCTCACCACACATCAGCTATTAGTGGGGAGGGATTATAAGGAGGCCATGATTGCTAAGGGCCAATGAGAAATTTGGCCAGGACGCCGGGGTTATACCCCTACTCTTTTCGAGAAACGCCCTGGGATTTTTAATGACCACAGAGAGTCAGGACCTCGGTTTTACGTCTCATCCGAAGGACAGCGCCTGTTTACAGTATAGTGTCCCAGTCACTATACTGGGGCATTGGGACCCACATGGACCGCAGGGTGAGAACCCCCTGCTGTCCCCACTAACACCTTAGTTTTTCCCCGGTAGTCTCCCATCCAGGCACTGACCAGGCTCACACCTTCTTAGCTTCAGTGGGTTGCCAGTTGTGAGTTGCAAGGTGATATGGCTGCTGGCAACACCACGTTTTTGACCACCATTTTGACACCACATGCAGAATTCAATACAAAGTTTTACAATTACAGACCAGGCAACAAAGGAATGAGGTGGAGTTGAAAAGAAGAGTGGGAAGGGATAAATATAGAGAATGGATGGAAAAGGTTTAAAGATATTGTTCTTGAAACACAAAACAGTGCATTCTGAGAGCAAGTAAATCTAAGCCTAGTCATCAGTGGCCTAAATATAAATCAATTAAGAAATATATATGGTTATAGAATATGATTTACAAAATGATAAAAAAATAAATGGAATCTAATAAACTAAAAGGAATATAAGGAATATAATAAACTGCTAAGAGCAGATAAAAAGGATATTAGGAAGGCCAAGAGAGAGAGAAAAAGGAAACTTACATTTTGATACTAAATTTAGTAAAAGTTTTAATGTATCTTTTTATTACAATGGCAGAGCAGTTAAGGATTAAGTAAATGTCTCTGCCATAATAATGTTGGAAAGTGTCTAGTTGATGACAGTAAAATGACTTAAAAATTATTTTACTGAGGTGTTTACTGAGGAAAAATCAATATATAGTACCTCAGGCTGAGGACACACCAAGTTCTGTATTAAATAATAGCATCAAAAGGGCAGAAATGTCATGGATGCTAGAAGCACTTGAGTTTAAATTTCCAGGCATGAGGTTATTCTACCTATTGTACTTCTTATTATTAAAGTTCCTCAGAGGATTAATTCTTAAATTGCAAGCATGAGGCACTTCAGATAATCTGCATCTTTTTTTACTGGGAATAAAGAAAATCTCTGGTATATGGATTGATACATTTTTAAATTGTGGTGATATCATTAGTGAAGTGTTGCAAGGATCTGTATTAGACCACAGCTGTTGCTCACATTATAATCTAGATTTTGGTATAGTTAGTATACTAGTTAGTTAGTATACTAGTATAATAGTTAGTATAAAGTTTGCAGGAGATAACAAATTTGGAGGCAGCAAATGTCAAATGTTGGCAGCAAAAATATGAATTATAGCTATTGTGACACCTTGAGTGGTGGTTACAACAGCTGGAGTTTTTATTCCCTATTAACTCTAGTGTGAGAAGAAAGCCATCTATTGGAAAGAAAGTATTCATTTGCAGTAGGAACACTTACTAATAAATCAAACAAAAACCCATATTTGGAGTACTAAATAATTAAATTCCTTCCTATGCCTTCTCAGTTTCTCTTCGAGAGTCATTCCCAGACTATGACAAGCTGTAAACCAGTAAACACTGTTTTTCTCCCGTTTTCATTTTCCGCTCAGACACTGTCTGCTCCTGCAGTGACCATAGGCTTTGTTTCAGCCTTGTCCTTTTCAGCCTTGTCCTTTTCCAGCTACAGGGTGTTTCTTGGGTAACTATAGAGACACAAATTCTACTCCTACATCAAGATATACAACGCCTGTGTAGGAAAACAGATCATAATTGCCACAGCTATATTAACTCCAGTAGTGCCAACTGTGTTTGAAATACCACAAGGGCATCTGTTAAGAGTCTGTATCAAATCGCAAAGCAGAAAAACGTTTTTGCCTGCCAGCATAAAACTGCGCACAGTGAGGTATATTCATCATAATGTATTATGAGGTTTAAATTATTTTCTATCAGTTAAACATAGTATCTTAATTTGAATTCATGTTCTTCTTAGTAATGGACTATAAGAGCCTTGTTCTTTTCCATCTGATATGATAGTGCTCCGAGATTATAAATTTGGATGCTGTTTATTGATGTTTCCCATCTCAATGCATGCTTTTGATGTGAACGTATAAGACTGTATGTTTGCCTGGCAATGATAATGATCACAATTGAGATTTTAATGTTTATTAAATAAAAAATATGAAATAATGTTAACTAATCAATAGTCAGGTATTCTAACTTTAAATACAATTAGCATGCTAGTTGGAGCTAGTAAAAAGTTGTCGTTTGGTGAAGTGGGTCTTAAATGAGGAATTCAGAACAACTTGGTAAAAAGTTAATATTTTAGATTTTTGAGTTGAAACTGGTCATAATGATTCAAAACAAACATAAAAAACATGTATTAATGTTATGTTAATGTTAATGTTAATTATTTTAAGGGTTATGAGATAATAGTTTCTGGCTCCCCTGTGACCCAGTATTGGATCTAACAGAAAATGGAAGGATGGGTATGAAATATTTTTGAAGTAGTTTGCTTTTTGCTTTATAATATACATGACTATTGTTTTTGGAGTATTTTATATTCTGTAATATTTCAGGAGGATTAAGATTCTGTACATTCTGTACAGATGTAGCCTGATACAGCAGGAGGTATTTCTGCAACACTGAAGACATGTGCAAATGCATTTCAAATGAGGAAGTAATTTTGTAGGCAATTTAAAAAATAAAATATGCAGCCCAGTCGGATTTATATGATGATAATACTTCCTTGCAATGATAGAACTTTAACCAACTGCAAATGTAAAATGTGAGTCATAATATAAATACATTCAATTCACTTATTGTACAGTTCTAGCCTGTATTTGTGTCTGGTTTGTAAAGTAAAATGAGTGTAAACATGCATAAAATGATCATAATTTAGAAACTCCAAACATTAACAATGATTTTATAACTGTTTAAATAATGCATTGTTTTCCTTATCATTCAAGTGATGTTTGGCAAGTTTGTTTTGTGGCTTATCTCATAAGAGGCTTCCTTCATGAAACCCAGCTCTGAAATACACATTCATCCAGTGACTTTCATGTGTAGTTTCAGCACTTTGTTTCCTGAAGAGGCTAGTGTGTATTAAGAAAGTCCAGCTGTTGCCTTTTCATTTATGCTTGCTTCCCACACACCATGTTTCAAATCTAGTAGGACTCTCACTGTACCAGTAGCCTTATTTGTTTTTAAATGGACACTACAATAGAAAGTGGGAGATCGGCCTTGTGTGGGTTCTTTTATTACGGTTCTCTAACTTTAGAGGTCAGTGACCATTTGCCTGCAATTTTGAAGAGCTGTTTGAACTTAGGCATGACAATGCATGCTATTACTGAATGTTTTCCATTCATTATCTCTTTTATACCACAGGAAAACAGGAAGCCTTCAGAGGCATCCATATACAGTATTTCCAGAGACTTCCATTGCTCTTCCAAAGAGCTTAATATTACTGTAGATTTTTTTTAAATTTCATTTAAAGGAATACATAGAGAAATTAATACATGTGACCCTCCTGTTTTTTCAAATTTATTTTTGACAAGTATGGCTTTGCTCTATGCAATGCTATTATGGTTACAGCATTAACATTATTTAAAGTGTTGAAGTGAGACATTATCCAGTCTGTAATTCATTCTGTTATGTGATGTTTTTTTTGTTCCTGTTTCATCCGGGATATGAATAAATCTGGGAACAAAACATATACACAATCTAAAAACATCAGACAAAACATGTAGGTAAAAAAATAATAATGATTGAATACTGTACAACAATCATATATTGTAACTGAACTCTGGTGCGTTAGCCTGATCCTCTGAGATATATTTCTTTTTTTAGTGAGTGGCAAACTCAGAAATATCAGGTATAAGAGAAAATCATGAAATGGGCAGACACGTGGCAAATTAACAATGATAAGTTAAATTATATCTACACTATACTATACTTATCACATAGGAGCTGCAGGAAGATACACTTAAAGAGCAGTCTGGCTGTGTCTGTAAACTCTTCTGTTTTCTCATTAAAACACAGTGGGAAAATAAAAATAAAATCGAATGGTGTGGTTTATAGCAGACAATCGGGGATTGAAGTCTAGGGAAGTTATGCTGAAGCTTTACAGTGCAGTAGTAGAGCTAATTTAATTTGTTCACCATACCAAAAAGGATGGTATAGCTTTTGAGAGAATTCAAAGAAGCTCAAAAATAATTCCTAGTCTCTGGGGATACTGTTATTCTTTTCACATAGGGATACTGGAGGTTGGATGACTTTGTTTAGGAAATAAAAGAAGAAAAAACACCAGACTAGTTCACACAGTTAAGTACTAGTTCATGCAGGCTCCTTCTAAATATCACTATGACACACTTAAAGAGATCTGATAACATTAAGTTGCGCAAATATGGAAAATTCAGAAAATCCATGGTCAAGAGAGCCACTCTTCAGTCTAGAAAAAAGGATATTGAGAGTAGATCTGAAGAGGTTTAGATATTGGAAACCCTGGGGACTATTTCACACTCTAGCAAAACAAGGACATAGGAGCACGTTTGGAATCTGAAAGTAAATTCATTTGGCATGGAGGATAGAAAACGTTTCTTTACACAAACAGTCCCAGCCATGTGGTTGAAGCCCGAGCTCTTGGTGCCTTTAAGAAAGATCTAATAGCTTGTGCCCATATTCGATTCTGTAAAATAGTGGTTATTACTGTAACATTTCATGCAGCCTGCGTTCTGAAAATCTGTTATTGCATCTCCTTATCAAATATAGTTGAAGTATTTTGTGTTTTAATGGTTTAAATACCTCTGAAATACTTCTTAATTAAAATCTGGCACGTTTTGCACTCCTGAAAAGGGCATCTCACACCCACAGGGGCATCCCAGGCTAAGAACCACTGCTGTAGAACCTCACTGCTGGAGAGGCAACAACCATCCAATACTGATACGGCCTGTTCTTTAATACATGGGGCATATTATTGATGTGTTCTATTGAAACAGCTGGACAGAACTACCCATTTAGTGCGCTTACCTTATGTTTAGTAACTGTTCTATTAGTCAATATTTAACTTATTTGTACCTGTGTAAAAATACCTTGATTCGTACTTTAAATTACAGAGCTTTGTGATTAAACACATTTTGCACATTAAACACATTTTCTTGATCACTTGGTGATCAAGACACATTTGTCTTTAAATGTAAGATTTTGAATAATAAATAAAATGCTTCCAACATTGGTTTTTTAACACAATTCTATGAAATTAGATGACAAATTCCGACCGTTTAATTTTCCTTTTTTAAAGTAATACATTTGTATATTTGTACAATTTGTGCAATTAATGATCACTTATTGAAATTGAAAGTTTTCTAAAAAAAAGCCTGTTCTTGTTTTTGTTTAGGCTGTCCTGCTTCTCAACATCTCTTCAAGTGCTAGGACTATCAAGACAATGAAAGGTAAGATGAGGAAATTAAGCATTCACAAAAGTGTGAATCTACACTAATATAATTGTTGTTTATACTGTTATAATTTTTGTTTTCTAAATTTTTACTTTTGATGGGTTCAGAGTAGCTAATGCCATCTCAGTTTTTACATCTTGTACAGAATGTTCACACGTGTCTTGACATGTTTTTTCCATTATTTCCGTAGTAGGCCAGATTAGTTTCCAGATGACCACATCAACTTTTCAACATGTTGAATGCATGGGGATCCTTAATTGTTGTATTATAATCTGGGAACTGTTGTTTATGTCCTTTCTCTTTCTCCCCATAGATCAGTTTAACACTTTGTTTAAAGATATGGGAAAATTACAGCAAGAACTCCAGGAGTGTCAGAGAAACCAGAGCAGTCTTCAAAGAAAAATAACATCTGACATGTAGGTCACTTCTTTCAGACTTTTACATCTTTACAATCTGCACAGAAAGAATCAGCCATCCCATTTGGAATTATGTCATTAACCTTTTCATTTTCAGTTACATGAATGCAATCATATAACTGAAAATGAGCCTTATTCATACAATGAGCCATGAAATGAGCCTGCAACTCACAACTGGCAACCTATTGAAGCTAAGAAGGTTTGAGCCTGGCCAGTACCTGACCAATCCACTGGCCCCACCTCTTCCAGCAGCAGCTTAGCTTCCCAGGAGGTCTCCCATAGATCTTCTGGGAGAGCTCAGGCTGCTGCTGGAAGTGGTGTAAGTGGGGCCAGTAGGGGGTGCTCATCCTGCGGTCTGTGTGGGTCCGAATGCCATTAATACGGTGATGGGGACACTATACTGTGAAAAGGTGCCATCCTTCAAATGAGAAGTAAAACCAAGGTCGTGACTCTTTGTGGTCATTAAAAATCCCAGGGTGTTTCTTGAAAAGAGCAGGGGTGTTACCCCAGTGTCCTGGCCAAATGAATTGGCTTCATCCCTCTGTTCTCCTCCCCACTGAGAGCTGATGTGTGGTGAGTATAACCTCCAGGTTCATGGAGTAGAGCCACCATGTACCTGTAAAGTGCTTTAAGTGGAGTATCCAGAAAAACACTATAAGTGTAAGAAAATATTATGATTAACCATTTGTTTTATTATATAAAGTATGATTAAGGCTAAAATATTAAGGTACTGTAGATCAGTGTTGTTTTGTAAAATACTGGTGAAAGAGGAGCTGAGTAGACTTGTTAAACCATTTGTATTAACTGTATCACAGTTTATTGGGTGTTTGTGTCAAAGCTGTAACCTAGGGAAGATCAGTCCCTTTTTATCACTTGGGCTTTTCTTCAGTTATTTCAGTTAAGGCAAAAAACAGATACCAGACTTATGGAAATCAAAGTCACTTTCATGGTTTATGATTCAAGACTTAAAACCTTACTTGTGACTCTGCATTGGGGTTCTGCTGTTGGATGATTTATAAGACCTTTTTTGATGCTTCTGCATTTAAAGGCACCTGCTTAGAATGCAAACTGAACACCTTTCTCCAGACATCACTGCTTTCTGAGTGAAGTGCCTAACTTTATGTCTATTCCTTTCTACAGCACAGGAAGGCTTGAAAGTAAAGTCTAATAGTACTATTTACTAATAGTATTAGAGTAGATTACAGATTACAATCTACAGTATATGCCAATTTAAACCTGGTCTTTAAAAATGCTCATTGAAATCCAAACCAATTTAGTCAGTGAACCAGTTCCCCATTGTTGCTTTGTTGCACCAGGACATGTTTTATTGAAAATGGCTGTGGGGTAGTGCATATGAACAGCTCATCTTGTTGTTGTTTTTTAATTTGTACTGCTTTTTAAAACATTAGGCTTAAATGAAGAATTCCTATTATATGTATAAATTCTAACTTATTTTTCAAAGAAAAGTGGGTTAATGCGGCAAGTGTCACCATTACATTAAGGTACTACAACATGGTGTTGATGCCCTTAATTCTGCCCTTTCTTTTTCATCAGAACATCATAAATAAAGCACACAACATTTGTATAAATATAGTAATTCAGTAATGTAGAAGACATGCTGTAAGTAGATATACTGTAACAATATAACACATGAGTGTATAACCTTGATTTTGATACAGGGTCACTGATTATGTCTGTATCTGTCACTTGCTTAAATGTCTCGTGGCAAATAATGATCTCCAACTATTAAATTCTCTAGGACAGATTAGCTCTAGAGTTGTTAATTTTGAGTAGGGTTTTCTGTTGTACTGTTTGCTCTGCTCTTTTCTGTTCTGCTTTAAGAATACAAATGTTGCCCGTATTCATTTTCAGTCAGTAGAAGAGCTGGTTTAATTTATGTTTGTTTAAGTCTATCTTGGGAATCAACTTCATTTGACGACTTCATCAAAGCCTTAGTCTTTCATTTACAAACACAAAATAGACACTCTAAGAGAGAAAGCAAGGTTCTGAGAAACAAGAAACACTTTTCAAATTGAATAGTTCTTCTTTATTTAATAGTTTATTTAATTTAGTTCGTCACTTTAATAAAGTGAGTCTAGCACTAAATGTTTTTTTTATTGCAGACAAATAAATGGGTTATTAAAATCTTTATTTGGATGCGGTTGGTGCAGTTCTGCTTTGTAAATTAAAAAGTAGCACAATAAGAAAGTCTTGTTAGGGTTAAAGCAAAGTTTAGTTGGGACTGATAGTTATTGCAGTTGTTCAGGGCTCTGGACTTTGGAGAACAGAGTTATGGGTTCAACCATGGGACAAAGTACTTCACTAAAATTAAATCAGTAAATGTCCCCTTAATAAAAGCTGGTCTCCTGGTCATTAATTTCTTCTCTAACATGTTTTATTTGTTATTGAGATACACATTACAGGACAGAGCAGCAGAGTAGGAAAAATATAACAGACAGAAGGCTAGTGTTGGGTTTTAGCACCAGAAGAGGGACGGGGAAAATGATATCATGTGGAATGGTGCTGAAAAGGTCATTTTCTTCAAAGACCGCAATCTTATCTCCTCATTGCATTTTCTTGTGTTTCCTGCTCTTAAATGTACTGTATTTCTTTTATGTTTAGGTCTCAGTGCAATGCACAGATTACAGAGGTGAAGGAAGGGTATTTACAGCAGCTTTCAGCACTCAAAAAGGATGCTCTGCAGAAGGAAGAGAAGATAACTACTGAGGTCAAGGTGTCTATGGTAATGCACCCAATTGTATCTCACTTTCCTAAAATTTACAGAATTGTCTACTGAGTGCATCAGTGCTTGTTTTTATAGAGATTCTGCTATTCTGATAAGGATAGAAGAATCCACATGGCATGTTTGGCTTTAAAAAGATATCAAGCAAGTGAGACTTCAAAATTGCGGTTAATTACTGATGAACTTTTAACATTTTCATTGTGTGCACCTGACCTCTTACTGCATTTGTATCAACAGCTTTTCAGTGAGCTTGTCTGCGCACTTGGAATTATGATTTAGGAAGCTAGAAATGGTCAAACTGTACTTGTATGTATGTACAGTATTGTATTCTTTAGTATGGAAGATAAAAGTAAGGATTTTGCTAAGAATATACCTGAGCGGTTGGTATAGATACAGGCATGTAAATTCTTTCTTCTCGGCATAGATTTAGTGAAAAGAGTAATAGTTCATTTGCAAGGCACATTTGCTTAAACAAATATTTAACAATGACAATGACACACAGTACACTACAAAAAACAAACGTAAAACATGTTTCACTATGTAAAAGTTTAAAGAGACCTATGTCTAAACCACCTAGAAAACTACAGACTACTACCAAGTATTTGGGTCTTAAATAATGCCTACAGAGGCCAAAAGAAGAGATAAGCTGCCTTCTAAACTAAATAGATAACAACCAATGATTTAATCTCCCTCTCTGCAAATCCGGATTCCATAAAATAAATGGGTGCCTATCTCCCTATTTTGAAATGCACTCACTGAGCATGAGAAACTTTTTTAAACCAAGGGATTCTTCTCCCAGGAACTCAAAGTTCCTTACAAACAACAGAATTGCAAGCTCTCCTGGCAAGGTTTAAATACGTAGCTCTTTTTGGATGATCTGAAACAAAGACTTCTTGTCTGGCAGATACTTTTAAGTTCCGGCCTGCTGTCCGTCCCTCTCCTCCTGTGGTCTTTCTTTCTCTCGTGTCTTTTCTTTCCCTTTGCCCATCTTGATCTCATCTTATATTTTGTATAAACGTTATGATTACTTTGATGACAGAATCTGGACCCCCAACATCTCAGCAAACATCCCTTTTCCTTTGAATCTGGAAATGGACTGCTAAAGATACTTCCTAGTCACCTATAGGTGTAATAAAATATTGTGATCTTATAATGATTTTCAAAAATGATCCTTCAGAGAGATGAAAATGCATGCAAGGTGGTATAATGCAGGTCTCTTTGTGATGGTATATTCACCACTCTGGAGGGTGGAGTACTGATGTACTTCACTTTTAATTTTGTTTTCATTTAGACTGGACTATTTTTTTTTCTGGAAGGCTTATTGTGGTGTGCAAGACAATGAGGCAAAATGATAGGAAAGGAGTAAATACGATTTAATTTCATCCAGAAAACTAGAATGAAAAAAGCTCAGCCTGGACAAGACTAAACAGCTGCAATGTGTTTTTTTCTCCCTATAAGCTTGAAATTAACCTCTGTGGCCTGCACACAGACACGGCTTCCTACTAAAACCTCTTAAATGATAAGAAATGGCAAAATACTTCATAGGACAGGTAAAAAGAAATTGAAAGAAAGATGGGCATAAGTCAGACTGCTGTTTTATAACAGAACAATGTTTTATGTAAAGAAAGAGACAGTTTTCAAAAGTGTATTTTAAATTTGCATTGGTGTTTCCCTGCAGCCCAAAGCAGTTTCCACAGGAGTTAAAACCAGAGCTACTGATGTCAAAGGGATAGAAAAGCAAGAGAAGGAAGGGACTAAGCAGGTCCCTGTCCATCCAAGAAACAGCAGTCATGAGACAGAAGAAAAACCAGTACAAACTGAAGTTCAAAACCCCAAACCTGCTGAACTAGAAACTACTGAGATTCCAGAGAACACGGGTAGGACACTGCTATTATAATGTTTTCCCTTATTTTGTATTTGTTTTTGTTTTTTTACAACTGATTGAAATAAAATACATTTCTTAATGTTATTTTGCGGTTATGTTAGGACAGTGTGTCTTATTACTCTTGGAAAAACTCTTGGTCTTGAGCTAGTCCATTTTGTCTAGAGCATATTTTGTCTTTGCAGGTACTGGTATTAAATTTAAAATTTAATACCAGTAAAAAAATTTAAAAAGCAGGAGTTTGTTATATCACGGCTTAAACCTGGTGTTATTGACTTCAGAAATGTGAGTGTGATATTTTAAACGATGCATTTGCAGGCAGCAGGAAAAATGTTGATGTACAGCAGCCCAAAACAGTGGCTGTTAAACAGCAGGATAAAGACGAAGCTGAAAAACCAGAACTGACTGAGATAAAAGAAAATGATCTGGAGAATCAGAAAAATGAAGGAGGCAAAGATAAAATCGAAGACCTTGAAAATGATGACCACAAAGGCAATGGCACAGAGGAAGAAGTAGAAAGAGAGCAGTTAATTCAGGATGAGCTGGAGATCCTTGATGATTCACCTAATGGAGACCTAATAGCAGATGGTTAGTAATCAGTAATATTTGTCTTTTGGTTTCATGAACTGCGTTACTGTTAAAACAATCGGTGAAGAGCTGTGGAACTTTAAGTCGGAATGTTTCCAAGCTTTTGACTCTTCACTGTTTACTTTAAAATCTGAGTTTGTAGTTTTATCATGAGTCAGGATCTATGTAAATATGATGAAAAGCTGAATGTATCCCTACAATGAGTAAGTAGCACTTTCTGGGAACTGACAGAGAACCAAAAGACTAACATGATAGAAAAAACAAAACCAACAAAAATACAAAGAATCCTTTGTTTTTAAAAATATAAGGTATAAAATACTATACGTCAGACTTTGTAAAATAAATTCCCCCAAAACCTCCTGAACAGTGCCCTTCCAATGTGAAAAATAAAATAGTGAAATTAAGACTTAATTAAACTAAATTTTACGTCATTAAAAGGTTCCAATCATACATTTCTATGGACAACATTCAACAGTGTAATTTAGAAAATGCTGACTCAGGTTTTGACTTGTATTGCACTACATTTTTTATTTTGCAAAGTTTATGGTGGAAGAAAAATGCTTTTCTTACTTCTGCAGCCTCGCCTCCAGTACAACTGATTGTGACTAAACATTCAGCAGTAGTCATAAATCAAGCCCTCATCAATCTGTATGTCAGCCAAAACACAAGACCCCCTCACACTTGAAGTGCTCAACAGCAATATTACTGATTAAATAAACATTAATCAGCTCTAGATGAATACTGTTTCTTAGCAATTCATTGTCACTGGCTTAGCAGCAGATAAATGGCTTATTCAGTTATGTTTCACGGTGTGGGACAGTGATTACTGGTACACATCTGGTTCGTTGCATTTTTATAGAGCTTTTCATCCCAAAAGTTCCAAAGCATTTACATCTGCAATCAAGCCATCTGTGGCTCCCTTAGTACGATCTGGGGCATTCTGTGGAGATAATGGTCATTATCGCATTTCAAACAACATATTTTGTCTCCTAATAATACACATTTTTCTTAATTTTAGGCAAACAGAATAACGAGCTGGTGATGGGTGATGAACTTGCTGATTACAACGGCGATGAGGAAAATGTGGGAGAATTTGAGGCAGACAAACAAGCGGAGCTTGCAGAGAACACAGGTGATTCATAAACACACATGGATACTTAATTGAAGAGGTTTGCACCCCCACTAATACCTAACAAACAAGTGAAAGACAGTGTCACCTTAGAGCCAGAGATAATTGTTTTATTCTGCTCATCGAGAGTAACACAGCAACTGTAATGAGGACCTAATAACTAATGCCAAAATAGTGGCTTACAAGGAGCAGTTAGGAAATTGATGTTAATATTTTTCTGTGTCATAAGTGGATATAATATCTTCTATCTGTGTACTGCAGATAAATGTGTTGGGCTGATAAGTAAAGTTTAATGAAAGCATTCGGCATTAAGCTTTTTTAAATTGTTTTATTTAGAATTAATCAGTCAGTTTAAAAAGTAATTGCACAAAAGCCATCATTTAAGAATTCAATGATATTTCACTTTTATAACGATACCTTTTGAAATATGTGTACAGCATTCCTCAGCTTTTAAGTTACCACATCTAAGTTGTACCCAAGGACATACAACAGAGGAATATAATGTACATTGCGCCAGTATCCCCCATTTGTTGCCACAGAGAAATCTGTTCTGCAAGGGAAGTTTACTGTATTTACACATATTCGTACAAACACAGCTCTGTCCCACCCACACCTAGCAGATATGATGCAGATACAACATGCCTGTGATGCTATAAGACAAAAATGAGCCGAAATGTGTGGTGTCATGACAGCTGGATGGGTATTTATACAAAGACGTTTACCATGTAAGCTTCTCTGTTGCACTAAAACATTGTCTGCCATATCCCTTTCTTTCACCAGGAGTAGACCAGGACCATCAGCTCTTCAATGAACAGCTTTAGAAGAGTGTGACAAAAACAAAGTGGAGTTCTGAAAAACAAATGCAGTTGCACTGTCAGTATAACTGGAGTAAAAAATACTTGAGCTTCCAAGTGCTTTCCTTTGGGATCATAAGACTACCATTTTATTTTTCTTTATAATTCTTCAAGCCAGTGGAAGCACAGTACACATGATGTATTAGTTTAAATAATAACTGAATGATTGGTCCAAATTGAATGTATGTTAAACAGGGTTCTGAAGTAGATTGAGTTTCCTTTAACTATTGCTGTATCAGCAATCTATACAGTACATACCTTTTTTTTTCCCCACTGTGTATCTGAGCTTCATGTTTCATATTTAGGAAAGAGACAACACATGAAAACATCACTTTGAAGTTCAGAGTTCTGACTTCCTGTTTCTTACATGAATGTTACTTTTCTTATCAATTCCCTGTAAAATGTGTTTTTGTGTTACTCGTTGACATTTGTTTTAGTCTTACACAGTGTAATACCAATATAGAACAAATACCTCTAAAAGGTTATTTTGAATGGATACTCTTAGTTCAAAATTCTGTAAAAAGAGGGTGTGCTTTATTGAGAACTAATGTAATTTACAACATGGAAAATCTATATTTACTATGAAAAGTACTGTAAAGTGGTCTGTGAAGATCACAATAATTGAATCTCCGTTTGAAAAATGAAGTCAAACTTATATTTTTATGCTGCCTAATACAAGGCAGACATTAAATATGATTTAATTCAATGTTTATGAATATTCTAATAAGTTAGAATTTTGTTTTATAACCTATGGAAACATATTTTGAATACATATCACCTAATACATTGATAGAAATGATAGATTCCTGTATTTTGGTGAAGACTTAAATTGTGGTTTCTCTTTAAAACATTCTGTACGTTTAATGATCTTGAAAACTACTATTGACAGTTTTCAGTATTCTATTTAATACAGCAGAAATGTTCAAGAATTTAATATAATCTTAAATAAGCAGAAGTATGACACTAGTTGTACTATTATAAAAACATTTAAACAAAAACAAACATTTTATTTAAATTTATTGGGACCTGATTGCAAATCGTTTTAGACATGCACAATTTCACATCTTAATGTGATCATCTTTTTGTTTTGCTTTTTCATCAGAAAGTGTTCTTTCTTTATATTTAACTTGTATTAAACGTCTTCCTTTCAAATCTATGAGTGATTAAAACCAGTTGTGGAGAGAACAGTACTTTAAATAGAAATGAAAAACGAGAGTGGATTTTTCTAACCACTGACCTGAACTGATTCATAGAGAAAGCTCATTGAAACAAAGGGATTAACACACTAAAATTAAGTATCATTTATATTTGCAAACTTGGTGTTAAAGCTACTTAGAAATAGTTATAAACATTTTCCGCATCAGATTTTGTGACATATACTTATTGTTTTAATTAGGATAATTAAATCAGTCAGTAAATTAACAACTGAATATAAAAAGAATTGGATAAGAATTCAGAACTAAGCTTAACTGGAATGTTATACAAAGCACAGAAAGCCAAAACACTTACGTACATTCAAGTGGCCCTTTTAGTTTGATGTCCAGAATAGAAGAACCCCAAAACCCTGAGACTTGATCAGTGTTGCACCATGCAATCAAGTTGCCATCAATCACTGTACTGTAAGTTGAGTTCTGTAACAATCAATACACCTCCCCATAGATTGGTCTGAGAAAGGCTTGGGAAAGGTTCACATATAATTCTGCAAGCTTGTTCCTCACTTGCAGATGTCCATCACAAAAAAAACCCTTGATGCACAGCTGCAGGTCTACCCCATGTGGCTTTGTCCACATGAAAGTGACATTCTCTAAATAAACAGAGTCCATCGATTCCTTTTTGAGTTTTTGAAGCCTAACATTAAAAAGGTTGATGCCCAGCTGTCCATCGCGTTTATGATCGAGGTGGTTTTTCACTTTTACATCACTCGCCTGAATCACAGTCAGCTATGATCACTTAAACATGTCAAAAACATGTAATTAATATTCAACTTTATTATTCTAAAAACACATCTAGTAGATGTCTTTTATTACTCATTCTCAGAATAACTCTCTGTAAAGGAATATTATTAACAGCAGTTACTGCAAACAATGTTTCTCTACCAGCATAGCTGTATGTACTATAGTGTAGTAGGGTACTACAACTGAAAATATAATATTAGGACTTTTAAGGAAAATTAAGGAAAAATAGTACTTTACTATAAAAGAATGGAAACCATAAAGGATCAGGTCTTTGGACAATAATCTATATTTGCATAAAATGAAAAGGCAATATGAAGTTACTGAATAGATAATTCACACAGACATTTATTAGGGAAAAGAGACTGTCTTAAAACATGCAGTCTTAAATTATGTTGATTTAACTAAATGGAAAGTGTTCCAAAAACTAGAAGCAATTTCTTAATAATACAGTTTATAACTGTATTCAAAGAATTGAATGATGCTATTCGTGGACTACTGATTGAAATCTGAAAACAATTCTTCTTTGCATATGTTACAACATTTATACTGTGCTAGTTCAATAAATACACAGTCCACTAGCAAGGATATTATGATTAGAAAAAATTAATAGCCAACCACAAATGATAGAAGCAGCCAACTATCACACTTCAGGTTTTCTAGGATGACATTACCTACAGTACTTTCAAGATGCAACTGAATGACAGAAATGATCTAGTAGCACCCAGATGAGGTAGATTAATGTAATGGCCCCTTCTCTTTCATAACCACACATTTTCTTATAATTAAAAGGATTCAGATCTTATTTTTAAGTATCTGCCCTCATCTAGAGAATGCCCCAAAATAGGGCAAAATAATTGGAAATGTAATGAGCCAAGAACAAAAGTTTTCATCCATGGAAAAATGCCTGTTACTAAGAGACTATATGAAACATTACCCATGTCCCAATTATTTTAAATGAGCGTAGTGGGGAAAGAAAAAACTACTCGAAAAAATGCTTGATCACAGTCACAATGCATAACAGACATTACAGGTGTCTGATTAAGCATGCCTTTTGTGTTACTTGCAAAAATACTTCAGAAGAATCATGTCCTTCAGAAGAATCATCTGTTCTGTTCACCAAAACATTCTGCTGCTGCATTGTGTTCAGTGAAAACATACAGTATTAGAACATACCAAAATCATTCATTGATGAATGCATTTCCACTTATAGATAATACCAGTTTTCAGATGAATGGGATATACAGACTTATAGCTACGTCTGATGAAAGTTAAAGCCAGTACTGTATGACAGACATAAAATACATTTTGTTTTGGACACATGGTGGTAGAGGACGTTCACAAGGATCAATGTATTCACTACTGAAGTTAGAATTCTGACAGTTTATAGTTTATAGCAACAAAATTCTGTTACTTAACAATCCAAAGAAAAACAATTTCTCTTGTCAGGACAGCAGTTTAATGTAGTAAACCAGTTTATTATGCATTTTCTTCTGAAATGTGGGGCTTCCATATAGTGTTAAAACATTTAAAATACTTCAGATTAATCAAGGTGAAAACAAACATTTTGACATTTTAATAGGTCTGGTCAATGTACAATTTTTATGTACTTGGTAAACAAAATCAAAGCAAATGTAACAATTACAATTTTGTTTCTATTATTCTAAAGGAAGAAAAAAGAATGTTAAAAAAACAGTCCAGTCTGCCATACCCAAAGCAAGCTAAAACCTTACTATTCTTAAGATTTCAGAAGTTCATGAACAGATCAAAAAGTTAAATGGACAAATCCACAACATTTATGTAGCTAAGATGGAATTTCACTCTAAACAGAGGTTCAATATGGTCAATGAAGTCATTCTTCTTACGTTTTGCAATTGCTGCATGATGAATCTGATATGTCACTAATTTACTGTACAACTTACACAGCTCAGATACTTCATGACACAAAATGCCATCCCATTGTTTTTTTTAAATGTAAAATTCCTTATTAAATTATCTTCACCACTGGGAAGTACTTATGCGCAGAGAAATCAAACTCTGGTAGAACCTAAATTAAAAGAAGAGGACAAGACAGGTAACTGACACAGCCAGTGGAAAGCAGAGTAACTTTGAATGCTAACATTGTGCTTAAATGAGGTAATTTTTTTAATTTCCTATATATTTTTAAAAAAATCGCCTACATCAGTAAAATTCTGCATTCTCCTTGTTATCCGATACAAACTAAAATATACATTTTAAAAGTACTTATAATTCTGACATGCAGGCCCTTTAAAGCGTCTATACGAAAACTATTTTTATTCGGATAATAATAATGTGAATCATATGAAATTAATAATCTTACAACTCCAGAAGATCCACAATATAATCAAGGTTCCCACAAAAGCAGCTTTCATCAAGCTTATATGATACAGTTTGTAAATTTAAAATATAATTTAAATTCTTAATTTATATAACAGGAAACTAAAAAAATATCAAAATTGTGAAATACAGTTCAAGGCAGCATGTGTTAATACAAGGAATTCTCTTAGTGTTTAATAACTTAAGTGTTTAATATTGCTTATATTGCATTTGCATTAAAAGGCACAAACAAAGCTAACCAACAGATAATGTTAAAAAACACAACTACATTTTTTAACCTCCTTATCTCCAGTTCACTTACCTTGGTATTTAAGTCATTATTTTAATAATTTATATTATTTAAAATGAAAATAACAAGAGCTTCTGTATTATAAAAAAGCTTCTGTACCCCATAGCATCTCATTCATTCAGAAATATATTATCTGGAATGGTTTAAGAAATACGTGAATGGATGGTATTTTTCTGTTAGATATAAAGTTATTATATATACTGTAGCTTTAGTTTAGCAGAGTGAGTTTTAGTCCTTACATCTCTAAAAACAAATTGTCAATTTAAAAAAATGGAGCCATCTAGCATGGCTTCAATGAAGAGTATTTAAATAGAAGGAGAATTTCTTACTAATGGACTGGATGCTGAGAATGAGAGACTCCTGGCAGAATGACAGATATTTCTGGCACAAGACTCTTGTAGCTTTTAATCTCCATTAAAAATCTTACTGATCCATTTGAAGAGCACTTCCTTGGACAAAACCTATTTCTATAATAAGGGCCACAGGAGCTGTATGTGGTTATGCCACTGCCTGTGATAATCAGTGTAAAAGCTCATCACTAACTTTCAGTATTACCTTAGTCTCTTTTTTGTGGCCTCCTGCAAGCAACTTCATCACCACTATGTTGGGTTTGGCCACTTTCAGTATTCGATTCACCTGCACAAAACAATAAAATGATAACATTCTGACATACCGTCCTTAATGTAGTAATGTAACTATGTCTAGTTTTCATCTCCTGAACTGTATTACTGAATCAATCAACTATACAGCTGGCCTTTGCCAGTTACAGAATATCATTAACTACACCAATGTTTCAGTTCAGTAGGCTCTACAGTATGTGGTTGCCTAATTGACAGCGGAGTTGGACTAAAGATGAAGGAATGAACAAGAAGTGAAACGGATGTAAAACAATGAAAAAACACAATTTAAGATCTAATGCACTGTCTTCCTTTGTTCCAGAATTCCAATTTCAATACATTAAAAAAACAAAACAAAAGTCAAAGCATTAATCTTGACTTAGAGTTCATTATATTTGTGATACCTGTACTGATCTTGAAGCTGTAACTGCAGTTTAAAAAAGATAACCACGTAATAGACTATCTGTTTACACTAAACTCTACGGTACCAGAAATGAACAAAGCACATTTTGATTAGATATCTATGCACTGAGAAAACAAAGTTTTTTGAAGCAGGGGCTTAGAATTCATTACCACTGTTCAAAGAAAATGTATGCAGTTCCTGCCTCTCACTAGCTGTATATAAAAACATCCATTAAAACCTAAAAGACCACAAACATATCAGAGTATCTCAAAATCTCAAGCTTTATATTATTTTTTTTTTTTGTCAGTGAAATTCCCCAAACAGAACAATCAAAATCAAACAACCTCTGGATCTGGATTGGGAACATTCTCCAGGATCATCTTGGCTTGCTGGAAGTGCTTACTGGATGCCATGTAGAGATCCGAGGATTGAGGAGGAGGGCTATATTTATTCAGGTCAGACATTTCCTGGAGGTCACACAGACATCAGGTTGGTACTGGAGAGGTGCACTTGTCAACTTCACAGATCTTATACTTCAAAGGGGACATGCTCATTCTAAACAAGTATATGATTCTTGACATACAGCTTGACCTAAGTAACTTTGCTTTTTTTTTTTGCTTTTACTTCAGTACAAATGACAGTCTATTACTTCAGCTGTAAACATGACACATTAACAATGCTTAAGTCAAAACATTTCACAGCTCAGCATTATTTAGAAGCCATAAATATCAGTTAAAAGCTAGAATCTGCTGTCACTAGAAACATACAAGAAGCATGGAACTACAAAACATTTTGTACACTTTGTTCTTTCATTTCTATAACAAAGATGAACTGAAGTGCACTATTCTCATCATACCTTAAACTGGATGTAATGCACAGGAGGAGGGGTAACAACACTGTTGAAAGGGGCAAAACGATGTTCATATCGGACTTGCTCACTGTCCAGCTCAAACTTTGGCTTTCTTACTTTTCCGTCCATGTCGAATGCTATCATGGTCTGAAAAACATTTTTTTTTCTTTGATTAGACTTCACAGTGCAATTTCTTCACTACAATGTACACTTTTCTATTCACATTTCCAGTGTCCTTGTTCATAAGTGTTTACTTTGAAGGAGATTAATAGATGTTTGGAAAGCACATGATTGCTGTTAATTGTGTAAAATGAAGTAGAAGATCGCTCAGCCTATTTTTTAGCACAAAAATGTAAACTGATGGAATAATAATAATGCCATAATGAACAACCAATAATGGGAAAGGGGAGAACATGTTAGTCTTTTAATATTGTTAAAAGTAATTTATTTACAGTTAAAAAACTGTATTTTATTTACGGTTAAAAAACATTTCTTGAGAACTTAGTAACTGATATTTAATTTTAATGAGGATGATTAAAAAAAAGAACAGAAATAACATAATGCCTTTTTCAATTTATAATATAAACATCAAATCTCCAAAACGAAAGGCTGTTTATGAAAAACAATTTTAGAACTTATAATTGCAAGAAGAAATATTTATCATAAAAATACCTTTTCTGCTTGCATCTTGGACCACTGAGTACTTTTTTATTTTGCATTTTAAAGCATGTTAGAGAATTACCTTGTACATGCCAGCACACATATTCTGGTAGGCTTGACTCATGGTGATCTCTCTGCTTAGGGGCCGTGCTGTAGAAAATAATACAAAGGCCCAAAACCCAATTACTTTTCTTAACAATAGCAAGTGCACTTCAAAAGCACTGAAACAGCAAAGTACAACAACAAAATTACCTTTCTTTTAATGGTCAAGCAATTTGTAGTTATTAATTTAACTCCCTGAATAAGTGCAATATATGTATGCATTGAAGCACTCAAAATATAATGCATAATTTGCTCATACCAAAACATTTGCTTATATTAAAATAGGCTCTGAATTCAAAGCCATATTATTTGCTTCTATCAATTAATACTGCTACTTTATTAACTACATAAAGTATTGTGATAGCCAAATTTTAACATATGTTACAGCTACTGTATGACTCCTGTCCAAGTACAGTTGCCAGTAAGGCCATCTGCCCCTTTCCACGCTGTGAGCCCCTCACTCCCTATAGCAGAGTTTGCACTGACTTGCGGAAGGATGCAGAAAATGCAAGCTCACAGACAAGTCTCAAAGGCTCAATACTCATTTAGGAAATCCCAATTACAGACTCTGCAATAGAGTTACAGTGCATAATTGCCAACAGAATTATGGGAATGTCAAATTCTTACATTGCAACCTTGTGTAAAAAAAACAACCAATTCAATACTTTTTTTCAAGAAGCAGTAGGTATTAAGGAGAAAAGATATTTAAATTACCCAATCAAATATATAATTGGGTAAGACGTAAACAAGGACTAGGTTTGGGAAGCCTGGATCTATATAATGGTCAGGAAGTTGTATGGTGAACACCAATCATGCTATGAAAAAAAATATTACAGAGGACATGAGAAAAAGAATAGTTTCTGTCCATCAGTCTGGAGGGGTTTACAAAACCATTTCTAAATATTTGGGAATCCAACCATCCACTAAGTCTACAAGTGGAAAATATGCAAAATCATTCTAATACCACCCAGGATTGGTGGTGCTGCCAAAGATCCCTCCAAGAGCAACCACGAAAATCATCCAGGAAGTCTCAAAGACCTTCAGACTTAATGGCCTAGTATAGTGACAAGGACACTATACTGTAAAAAGGCACCGTCCTTTGGATGAGAAATAAAACCAAAGTCTTGACTCTTTGTGGTCATTTCCCATGCTCCTAATTTTACATATGAAACAGAAAAACTCTCATTTTATGGAGACGTTTTATGACTGCAAAACTGAAAATTCTGTAGCATGGAAGGTGACTATTTATAGACGATATTACTCTAAAAACATTCAATTTCTATTGTAGTTTAACTAGTTCAGCTATATCTGGACATCAAATTTGCATGTTAGTGAGAAAACAGACCACTTCATTGTTCACTGCCAATTTCCCTTCAAAGCTCTAGTATGGAGGGTCTGAATATTCTCTGTATATTTCATATCTCGTTCCACCTTCTTTATCATGTTACTATTTCTACTATGGACTTACAGTCTAACTTCAGAAAAGATTAGGAAGATCAGCAAAAAATTACTTAATCCATTAACTAATATTATAGTTGGGGGAAGCTTTTATGGAGGCCACACTACGCATGGCCATGAGTATCCTTTAGCCAGCACAATGGGGTTAAACAAATGATATATTGCGACTTTTGTTCTAAAGCCAGTCAGGAAGTTGCAGGGAAAACTGAGTTTTTCAAAGGGACGAATCATTTAAAAAAATAAACGTCTCTAAATACACATGGAGAGAGTCAGAAGCATAAAAATGCTTGTGATTGTGCAATTGCGAAGTGTGCCCCAAGGAAGACAGCTTTAGCCCGGGCTGTGTCTCGTGCCTGTGAAAAGCAGCCGAGGAAATACTGAAAATGAAATTTAATGCAGCCTACATGATCACACGTGAGGAACTACCGTTCACAAAATATGCCTCCCAAATCTTGATGATAAAAAAAAGAACAGAATGGATGTAATCAAAGACATATGAGTTTATTGGGTGCATTGCAGATGAACTTAAAGCGCAAACACTACATTTTACGTTAATATGAACTCTTTTTCTGTAATTTGGCAGCTAAAAGAGATCATTTGGCTCCTAAATGTTTCATTTTAGGAGCCAGTGGTTTCCAAGTATTTTTTTAGTCTGGAGCTCTGCCTAGTGATCCTTCAAGATCTTCTATCCCAGTACTGACCAGGACCATCCTTGCTCTGAGTTCTGTGGGGATCAGGCTGTAAACTAGTTTTTTATCTGTGTTCTGAAGGATACCCATCTCTGATTTTTCTTTCCCACTGTTTCTTTAGTCACCAGTTTTAAATGCTGACTGCTACTAATCTGCTTGCTTGTTAAGACATTTTTTCTGGCCTTGGTTTAAAATTCCCTGGATAAAGAACATTTCAACAGATTCATTCCTGTAACTGTAACATACAGTGTGAACTCAACTTAATTATTTGGTCCCTTACATCTAACTAAAAACTCTTAGTAGATGAACATACACAGGTGGGAATGATAATGCATCCAAACACTCCCGCAGTGGGTGTTTTTTTGCCTTCTGGTTTGGTCCAATGGGTCACAATTCAGCTAACAAGCCTGAGTGAGGTCAGGTATGAAACTCACTAATTAGTACAGGGTTGACAATTACGTATCCAGTTCAACTGAAAGTTAATTTAAAATATGCCTTAATTAGAATAATGATGCTGTAGTAATTCCTTCTTGTTAACAAATGCGGCAGATATAAAAAGATAGCAGACCTGTTGTTTGACAGACTGTGACTAAAATAGCTAATGGAATGAATCTGTGATATTCTTAGAGAAGTGGGCACTCAGTAATTGGCTATAATCCTACACCATTTATGCAAGCCCCTTTACAGTCTGTGGTTAAATCTGTGTTTTTCTGCTTGTCGAGACATTTACGGTAGCACAGGAAGTTGAATAGCGTTGTAATGTGACTATAAAGACCCAGAAAATATAATTGGAGATATTATGGTTATGAACTTGGCTATAGCAAAAATCAGAGGATACAGGATTGAATTACAGCATTCAAGCGTTAAAACACTTAATATGCTGCTTTAAGCAGCTTCAGGCAGCTTCAGGCATTACTATACAGGGACATGAACCTCCTAAAATGAGAAAAACTTCAGTGATAAAGAGGTACTCCTAAAATTATTTTTCTGCCTTATGCCCCATATATTGCAGAGCTTTACCCTTTTTCTTCTTTTTGGATTTCTTGCTGCTGCGTCCTTTCTGCTGCTCCTCCATGATCCTCTCCTCAGCCATCTGAGAGCTATCAGCTCGACTCAGTGTGGACATCAACCAGGCATACAGGAATTCTGACAAATACCTGAACACAATGTCCAGTTAGTCATCTCACATCAAGAGACAGGAATTGTTTTTTTAACAAAAAGATTAATTGTTAAAATAGAATTACTTCTTCAGCAATTCAAATATTAAATGTAACATTTAATATTCCAATATTTCAAATGGAACACTGACAAATTTGAAGAGTTGATATTATAAATGATGGAAAAAATCCTTGCAAGAATCTGTACTATCTTTTCTTAGAAATCTGCAGTTTTGGAATGTACTTCTTTCTTTTTCATTAACTCAAAAATGTACTTATATTTTGTTAAAAAGTGTTAGGACTAAAGATTTGACATGAATGTCAACTTTGTCATTTAAAACGCATTTGCAATACTTATTTAAAACGTTATAGTAAATAACTATCAACTACTTGTTTTGGTCCACTCAATGAATGTTACAGTTATCATTGTACATATTGTTTGATAAAAGGTGCATTTCCTACTTTCCATGATGTTAATGTAAATGTATTCAGAATATTTTTTATAGGGATTCTCATTCAAAACATACCAGTAAATGTAGTAATACTCATGCATGCTATAGAGCTCAAGTTCAAAGCCACTCAGGAGGTACTGGATCATGATTCTCAAGTTGTGATAAAGGACCCATGTTCCCAAGCACGCCAAATGCTGTCTTTGTGGCTCTTGCTTCATTAGCATACTGTGTAGAGCAGCATCCACTTTTTCAGCCTGGAGAGAAGCAGAGAGGGCCTCTGATTAAATAGTGAAAAAGGAGTAATCTCTTCAAACACACGTGATTTAGTAGTTAAAGGAAAAGGACATTTTAAAGGTGTGAGGTTCATCAATCCCAGATGTTTCTAAAAACAAACACACGTAACAAAAATACCAAAAACAGGTCTTTGGAAGACAAAAATTATATTTCTGACTTTCATTTAATGTGCCATCTAAAGGGTGTACCTCCTAGAGAACAGTGTCTCTCCCACCTAATGGTCTACAAACAACACATACAGCAGCAACCTTGTTTTCATCTGTCCTCTTTACGGACTACGCTCAGTCTTGCATAGATCCCAAGAAAAGTAACGACTTCATGACAGAAGGTGGTAACACTGCTGAATGTTCCCATTCATAAACACACCTTTTCCAGGTCTGATATTCTTTTTAACAAAGTGACATTCCTAAAACACTTTGTATAGATTTGAACAAAGTTAAAATTAAGAACCTACATTCATTACACACTCATCATCTTAAAAGCAGAATTTAAGATGAATAAAATACATTGTATAATGTACAGTTGTAAGCATGTGCATTTATTTAAGAATGCACAGTTGTCTATGTGACAATGATAATAGGAACGGAAACTGCACTACAATAATCTAGCCATCTATAAAATACCTTGGCTGGTCAAAGCATTTTAGCACCATTTAAACTTCTGTGGAAATACATTTTACTTTCAGGTTTTTCAATATGTCTTCTTCCTTCTTCCAAAAGACACAAGAGGTGAAATTCAGAATCAAAAGAAATAATGCTAAAATGAAACATTGTGTGAGCAATACCACATGAGGAATACTGTGCACAGAATACAAGAAAAAACATATCCAAGGACAAGCCTTATACAGCAAGAACAAATTCTTGTCTCAAAGGCCATATTTTAAACAGGCTATTCAAAGAAAGAGGATATGATTAGGGGATCTGTGTAAAGAATCTTAAATCCTAAAACTTAATGATAGTGAATTTAACTGGCTATTTTAAGTTCAGTAAGGAACTTGACTATAAAGGAACTTAAAATAAAAGTACAAATTAAATGGGTGTGAATTTAGATGGTTGTGCATCCGGAATAATCAAGCTTTTTAAACTGTTAGAGGTAAACCTAAAAAAAAAAGATTAAATTCTTGGATTTAGATGCAACATGCAATCTATGCACAATGACCCCATTACCATTATAAGCTTTTGAATTTTTAAAGAAAATATTAAAAGCATGACCTTATTAAGTTCAAAATCATACATCCAAATTGAGTATGTTTAGAAATCCAATTACTTATTTTTAAAATAAATCCTGTGTTTTAACTTGGTGGATCATGTGGATGCTCATTTTATATTTTTTGTGATGGATGTTTTTCTAGATCAGTCTTACTTCATCCTGCAGTGCAGAAAACTCCTCCAAAATGTGTCCCAACTTATCTCTTTGTCGGGCCCTGTTGTGTCCATGGATTTGAATGAGACTGCAGAATGGCTTTTTAAAATAAAAACAGGACAGACATTTAAAATAACATCAACCAAATAACAATTCAATTATTAAGAAATATTAACATAATATGAAAAATAATGCAAAACTACAATAAAGCAAACATGCTGTAACTGTGGATACAGCCAGTGTTCTAAATAGATACTCATTAATTGAAGTTCAGACTTTTACTGACCGTCATGAACCCAACAGTTAAATAATGATGTATCTAACTCTTTTGAATTTATAAGGAGCAGCTATGCACATGAAAATATTACTTAAGAATTCCCAGCTTATTCAATGATGTTTGCCTATGTGTTGTAGAACTTGTTTACAATGAGCACAAGATGATCAATTCTTTCAAACGTTACACACAATCTCTTGAATTTCACTTTCAAATAAAGAAGCAGCACATTAAAAACAATTACATAACAAATAATATGAGTAGACTTCTTACACAAAAATATAATGGAGCAGATAAATTATAGCCCAAAAGGTTTTAAGTAATGAATGCTACACTGAGAAATGTTGAATACAAATATAGGAAGTATGAGTAAAACACTTCTGACTGAAGTTACCAGTGATCTGGGCCCTAGGGCATTTAAAGGTGAACTGCCTGGTAGTTTTTTTATTTCAGGGTTAGAAAGAATCAGCATTAATAAGTGCATTTCTGGGGTGCATATTTTATGCAGACAGAGAGACAAATATATACTGTGGTATGACAATATTTTAAAAATATTTGGTATTCTTACCCGAGTACAGTGTGTGACAAATGAGTCAATGTAATCCTTAGCCTGATGGTTGTTGTATAAGCAGCATCTAGAAAGAAAATTTCAGTTTTCTCATATTTTAAACGACAGCAAGGTAAATGTGAAAAAAGGAAAGCAATGATTTTTGGACTTACTTTGTAGATAGTACAGGGGGGCTCACAAAATACCTTAAAGCATCCTTTATCATGTCTTGCATTAGATGAGTCCCAAATACCTTTTTATTATCAATCAAGAAAGTTGTCTGTAAAATAATAAAATATTGTATAGAATTAGTGACTTCACTTTCATAAATAGAGAAACATTGAGAACATTATAATGACATTAAATGTAGTTTTTTAGTCCTACGAAACATAGTGGAAAAAAAACACAGCTAGTAAAGGGGTGTAGAACTCCAGTATGGTACATGCTGGTTTCACAAGTTTTATGTCTCTTTACTACCTGTAGCATGTAAAAAGTAACTGTAGGTGTGAAAAAACCTGCATAGTGTGACCTCCCAGGACTGGAGATGTATACCCTGATCTACTTATCTTATCTAGTTTTAAAGAGGCAAATCAGTACAAAGAACTTTGATATCACAGCTAAATCCAGTGTCTACAAATGAGAATAATAAGGAGTTGATCATTACATGAAGTACTGGGGCAAGTTGCAAGTGAGTTACAAATCCCAAGCAGGTGAAGTTCTCAGCAATTAGAGCACACATGCAAAATACTCCAATAGCATCTGAGAATTTCAATTGTTACAATTGCAAATTTGAAAAAATAGTACTTTAATCTACATAATGACAAAAGACTTGAAAATTATTGTATCTAAATCTAATAAATTAATTGATTCAATCAAATCATTAAGAGTCCTGGAGCAGGAGTGAGGAACTTGCTTTGTACTGTGCTGGTACTGGTGTTCTGTGATCAATATTCTCAGTTGCTCAGATGTGCGGTAGACCATGAAATACCTTTTCAGTGAATCATGAATAAAACTTTGAGACACTGGAGAATCAAAACAAGTGGCATTTTCAAAGGCCAGCTTTCTATCAAATAAATTATGCAGAAAAATAATCTCCTCTCAGGAAAATGTTAAATATAAATGTGCTGAGAATATGTTGGTGTGGATAATGTTTACATATAGGCAACAATTAAATATGAACTAAATCAATTACACCCTCCCCCCCAATAAAGAAAAGGGTACTTACTTGTAACAAAGATCTGGAAAGAACACAGGGGGATTGCTCACTGAATTCACAGAAAAAGTCCTTAGGAGAAAACAACATGCAAATTAAAAAAATTGAAACTTATGAGAGATGCTTCAGAATGACTATGCTACTAAAAACATGAACAAAAGTTAAAAATCGATTTGAATACAGTTGTATGGTGTTCAATAAAAAATAATAGCTGTTTATAGCAGCCAGCAGCGGCCAGCAGCCATATCACTCTGCAACTCACAACTGGCAACCCACTGAAGCTCAGCAGGTGTGAGCCTGGTCAGTACCTGGATGGGAGACCTCCTGGTAAAAACTAAGGTTGTTGCTGGAAGAGGTGTTAGGATGGCCAGCAGGGGGCGCTCACCCTGCGGTCCATGTGGTCCTAATGCCCTAGTATAGTGACAGGGGCATTATATACTTTACTGTAAACAGGCGCCATCCTTCGGATGAGACGTAAAACCGAAGTCCTGACTGTGGTCATTAAAAATCCCAGGGCGTTTCTCGGAAAGAGTAGGTGTGTTACCCCGGCGTCCTGGCCAAATTTCCCATTGACCCTTACCAATGATGGCCTCCTAATAATTCCCATCTACGAATTGGCTTCATTACTCTGCTCTCCTCCCCACTGATAGCTGGTGTGTGTTGAGCGTTCTGGCGCACTATGGCTGCTGTCGCATCATCCAGGTGGATGCTGCACATTGGTGGTGGTGGAGGGGAGCCCCCATTACCTGTAAAGCGCTTTGAGTGGAGTGTCCAGAAGTGTAGTGTAAGGAATTATTATTATTATAGTACAGAATTACCAGGGTATTAGAAGGAGCAAATAATTCACAAATACATGTACTTGAATTACAATAATCCCATTAGGAGTACTGTAATTCATAAATAAGTACCAGTATGGAGTGCAGATTCGTGGTGTTGACAACTTCACAGACTGTTTTAATGCGCTCTATCAGTTTGGTGAAGTAGTTGACCATTTCTTCTCTCTTAATGATTTTGGCATAGCGAGGAAAGGTTGGGGGTAGCAGCCGCTGGTTAACAAGGGGTTCAAATCCCATCATTATGGGGTGATCTAAATTATAAGAATGAAAAAATTAAAACGTTAATAAGAAAATGTTTTCAAAAAGCATAAACTATAGGTTTAACTTAAAGCAGCTGTTTGAACAAAGTTTGCATTTTGAACTGGAACTGGACTTCCAATGGAAAACTACTATACCACACAGTCAAACTCTATAGAAATGTAGTAGATATACTAAATGTGTATACATGTAACAATACAGTTTCATCTGTGATGAAGATACTCCAAAATACTGCATACCTCCTTTTGTAGTATCATTTTGTGCTTGTATACCGTGATGGATGGAAGTGTGGATAGCAGAAAGGAGATCTGCAGCTTGTGTCATCAGTTTCTGAGCTTCCGACACTGAGCTTGTCTAGCACACACAGGAAAGAGAAGATCAGTTTATTCAACCCCACTTAACAAAATTCACTAATAAATCTTTGTTTATTTAAATTAGTTTAGTTTATGTGTCCGCTTTCACCTGTCTGGAAGCACAGGCATATATCTATCACCATGTGTTATTCTGGTATTTCAGTTTGATCATGTAATCTCTATGTTTATTTTATATATGATAAGATGAAATGCCACTGCACTCAGAATTCTGGTATTCCACTACGGTTTTTATGCTCTTTAGGTACAAAGAAAGCAAAATGGCACTGTATTTGAATTTCTCATTCAAGTGTGAAACAGATAAGAATGCAGAAATCAAAATGATCCAGTGAGGGGCATCATACCAGGTGACTTGTAACTGAAAGCTTATGCTATGAAAGAGCTCTGTAAATCAGACAGCATTTAAAAACGGAAAAAAAAAAATCTTACCTCTTTTTTTGTAAAAGCGATCAAAGCTGTCAGCAGCAAACGTGTAAACTTAATTCTGCTAAAAAGGGCCAGGCATTGTTGATGCTGCAAAGAAAGATGAGATTCGGAATGATTGTTCTACCTAACATTTGTCATGTAACATGTACAGTATAAATTAAAATACATACATTGATTTTGAAAACCACTTGGAACTCAAGGGTAACTTTTCAATACTATGTCTAGAAATCTTCAAATAATCCCAAACTTACTAAATAATGATTGATTCATTTTTTTCACATATCTGATCAACCTTTCTGAATTCATTAAACACATGCAACATGTGCCATCGCAAGCTGGTGCCAGCTGGGAGCAACATGGGGAGGACACACACTCCCTGAGGAGCCGGAGGCTCAGTTAGCACCAGGGCACTTCATGTGAGAATATAAAATTAATAAGCATTAAGGAGTGACTTTTTCTAGTATATGAAGCTGCTGCTCAGAAGAAGAAGCAGTCTTGAAAAGGAAAGAACTTCAAAAGAGGCCGATACAAAAGAGGCTGCAGAGCATGGCACTAATGTCACTAATTCTGACAGAGGACAGAGGAAGAATGCTAGTTAAATGGAGGGAATTTATAAGGGCAGTCAGAGTCCCACCACGAGTTGCAGGGAGAACAATTAAGCTAGTGAGGGCAGACAGACCCATGTCTGCTGGTGAGTGGTAACTTTGCCATACAAATTAACACACAAGTCCTGTAGTCAAGTCTAGGAATAGATGTAAAAGCTCACTAGAGATAGCAAAGTTGGAAAACCTGCATTGCAAATTGCACTTGAGGACCGAGCAGAACACATACTGTACAAAGCATTCATTCTACTTAAACCTTCTAATGGAATCTTTTGTTGAAGCATTTTTGCAAGGATAGTTAGAAAGGCAAAAAAAAAACCAATATCAAGAAGAACACCCATAACAGGACGGGTCAATAATAATCTTTAAGTTTGTGGAATTTATTTGAAACCACTAAGGTATCTCTTACTAAGCCAAGAGATACTGAGATTACGTTTAAATATTAGTTCAAAACAGATAAACAGTAACAGTTGATGTTTCAGTGCTGAAAAGTACTTAGTCTATCTGAGTATTACCAGTATAAGGATATTGCAATCCTTACACACAGATCTCATGAGTGCATACAACTGTTACCAAACCATGAATTCTTTCATGAATACATAAGCATCTAATCACAATTATTTTAAGATATCAGCTTTTATTGGAAGTATAAATAACTATATACCCACCTGGAAGAGCTAGAAACATTATGAAAACATGGTTTTAAATTGGCACCAAGCCACAGCTCAGAAAAACAGAAATACTGAATGCTTTAAGTATGATTTTCCCCTTGAGAGAACTCATTTTGGCAACATCAGAACATTCTATTCTATTTTTGCATTTTCCCCAAAGAACTTGAAATTCCAGGCCGTTCTACCAATCTTTCCTTCCACTAGAGATTCCAAAGAAGGATTTTGCTAGAGAAGGAATAAAACCTTCTTACTTCAAGTTCCACTTCTGGGTCCCTCTCTTCTCCCTGTCGACTCCTTGTGCTCTGCAAAACAAGGGTAACTAAACAAGTTCAAGGTCCATAGCTCTAAGCAGAACCAAACCACTGAAGCTTATATTAGATTGTTCATTACATTTCCCATTAAAAAGGTGTCTATGATAATGACATATTTTCTCAGAAAACCTTTAAAAAAAGAAAACTGAAAGTTTATTTTAATAAGAACCTTAATTTAACTGAGCATTAATTAACTGAGTATATGAACTGTGCACTGACACCTGATCAGCCAGCATATATTTAACCCATATTTCTTCTAATTAAGCCTTCTTATAAACTCTTTTGGTAGATGGCCTTGCTGGGAGGGAAAATGTGGCAAAATAACACTATCACAAACAACACTCATAGTACGATAGGGAAATTATAAGAATTAAGAGATTAAGCCCCTAGTTAATTTTAAAAAACGCAATATTTAATTACATATTGATCCCAGAAAAAAATATGCAATGCACGGAATAAACCACCCATTTTCAATATCCTCTTTCTCCAATATAGAGTTGAGGTGAGCTGGAGCCCAGCCTATGAAGGGAATGTAGGCAAAGGAGGATACGGTCTACACAGCATGCAATATGAAACATGGCACATATAAAAAATAATTCTAGGTGAAAATATTACATCTCAGAAACATTTTTTCATAGATCTCAGTCTTTAAGCATTGCAAATACCTTCACCCTCCTTTGTAAATCATCCTCTACATCCTTCAACATGCCTTTAAGAAGAAGAAAAAATCATTACATTAAATTGCATAACTTTTATAATAGTATAGCACACCCTGATGTTTATATCAATTCCAATTACAATATTAAAACAGTAGTTACTAAAAACAGGTTTCTACATGTACTGTACAAAATGTCACTGATAATTAATAAAGAAAACATATTTATTAGCTGTTAGATCTCTTATAATGAGGGATATAATTAATATACCTCAAGTTAATTATAATTAACTTATAATTAATCTTAAAAATAAACACCAAATTACCTGTAACTCTTAAATCTGTCACGTTGTTAGCCATTTTGAAACCATAGGTCATTGCCTGGAAATCTTCCTAAGAACAAAGCAAATTTGAAAATGTTAGAAAAAACTGGTGCACACTTTTGCACTAAAGTGACATGATTTAAAATTATATACCTCCTTCAAAAATTAAAAGCTTCTTAAAACTTTAAAGGTAAGATCCTGTAAAACATTTCCTTTGCAGTCCATGACCTTTGAATTTTGGAAACTGTTCATTAACAATGTTAAATTGAAAACCCAGTGAGCCTTAAATCAAATGGAAGAATATAGAGTTTCCATGGATACTGAATTCAACAACATACTTAAAGGAAAGCTTATCAAACAATCTGAATATGTCACATTTATTCTTGAATAACTGAATCTTGAAAGTTGAATATTTACAGTCTTCCACTTAAGAATGTTTCCCTTTTCCTATCCTTAACCTCCTAAGGGAAATCAGTTGTTAATCAGTTTAGATATTTGAAGGCATCTCTTATTTCAGGTTTAAGAGCACATGAGAAGGAAAAGCTTTTAAAAACAGTTGCCTTCATAAAGAATAATCTCCAACTTTGCATACTATACACAGGCTGTTCGTACAAATAAACATTATTGAGCATTTGTGTTTACTTAAGTATAAACAGCCTTTCCAAAACGTTTCTTACTGCTGCATTACATATAATTTGCGATTCTCCAGATATAGATTTTGGCTCAGACTTAATTTAGAGAGTCTGCTTTGTTTCAGTTCACTTTAAAACTGTTACACCGTTCTGACTACCCACAGAGCTGCTGCTGGGTTATTCCTCTCCAGACAGAATTCCTGGGAATACTATATCACACTCCTAGTGAGAAACTAAACCATATAGGGCATTGAAAAGCACTATAAGAGTTGCACTGCAAAAGTCACACATAACTTACATGCTGGATTTTTGAGCAGGCAATACCTTTGAGCAACAGTGATCACATTTTCTATAACATTATTTCTAAAAATGTTGACCACCCATATTAGTATATAAAGCTATTCCATATAAAGAGGGTCTACATATGAGTCTACGTGAGCCTTACCAGACTTGTTCAACAAAACAAACAACACCTCCTAAATCATATATTGCTGTCAAAAGATCCCAAGGGAATGGAAACAACAGCACAAGGCTGAACCTTAGAAGGAAATGTGCTCAAAGTGCTCAAGCTGGATGAGATCATATGGACTTTTGATTAATTTCGAGCTCACCTCTTCAAAAACAGCTGCTTTATTGACTTTCTCCCGGGCAATATCACAAATTTTCAGAATGCCAAGAGCAAATGCCTTCATGGCAGAGTCTTCTATTAGGTCAGGGTTATGGACATACAGGCAAGTGAAAACTGTCTGGGCTAAGGAATGACCTTCAAGCCACGTGATCTGGAATGAAGATGGGCAGATGCACAGCATATTATTATTCCTGAGATACTGAAATAATGAAAAGAGAAGCCAAGGTAAATCAAAGAAATGAAGGTTAATTTCAAGAAGCACTGTGAATACAGGAAATCTGCTGGGTTCATGGCTTCTTCAAAACAAACTCACTCTTACAGCATATGCACTGACATTCACAAACAAAATAAAAGCAATCATACATTACTTAAAATTCTTATTCTAACAGCAAGTCATTACTGTGGTCTTACGAACACATTTGCCCCAATAGCTCCAATTTAAATCAAGGAATTCAGTACAGGGGGCAGCACGGTGGCACAGTGGTTAGCACTGTTGCCTTACAGTGCTGGGGTCCCGAGTCCAATTACGGACCAAGGGTGCTATCTGTGTGGAGTATGTATGTTTTCCTGTGTTTGCCTGGGTTCCTCTGGGTACTTCGGTTTCCTCCCACAGTCCAAAAACATACTGGTAGGTTAAATGGCTTATGGGAAAACTGGCCCTGGTGTGAGTCTTTCTATGTTTGTGTCTCTGTCCTTGTGTGCCCTGTGACGGACTGATATCCCATCCAGGGTGCACTCTCCCTTGTGCCTTGGCCTACTTGAGGGGATGGTCTCTGGCTCCCCCAAAACCCTGAACTGGATGAAGCTGCTAGAGAATGGATGGATGTAATACAGCAGGATTGTACAGTGAAAGTCAGTATATATTGTATTGTATGCATCATGGAAGATGGATTGGTTGCCACTGTTCTTCTACATTGATGGTAGAGTGAAGCTGCCTTTCAGTTTTTAGAAGGTGCAAGGAAAAGCAACACTAATACATCATGAAAGCAAAGTAGAAGGCATTCACAGGTGAGATATCAGTGACTCTGCTGCGTTTCTACTTCAGCCTTTAAAGTGTTAATAATGGACATTAAAAGACAGCACAAAGAGCAGCATTTGTTTTTGATCCCTCCATTGGCAGTGTTTTTAGTAGTTAGATGTTTATGTTTGCCAGTCAGATGTAATAATGGAAGACATGTTTGATTTTGGTTAGATTGTTATGTAAAAACATGTCAGAGCCTTGCTTTGAAAAATTGTCGTCTCACTGGCTTTTATACAGTGATTTGCATTTGACATGTTACAAACACACCATTAAGCAAGTTCTATTGAAAAAAAGCATGGCCATGACAATACGACCAGTGCGATGGTGGGTGCATTACAGAGATCTAGCTCTTCTAATAGGACAGGAAAATGGTAGAAATAAAAAGGTGACAAAATACAGCCAAACACCCAAATCAGGAAATTGTTTTTATATTGCGATACAACAGATTAGTGATAAACTTACCAAGCAGCAAAAACATGTGTCCATTATACCAATCAGCTCAGGCAAGGTCAAATCCTTGATTTTAATAGCTCCATCCTTATGAAATTATAAACATAACAAAATAAAAAAATTAACAGAGATTTATAAAGAAATTGGTATATTATTAAGAGTTGTGGTGCAAATTGTTAAAAAAATGGCTAATCATATCTTTCTGGAGTTGGACTTCTTGATTTCAAGTGAAAGATTACCCAAAGATTGTATCCAAGTCAAGCATGGTTGGGCTGACATTTGACAACATTGGTCACACTGTATCTCTCTGGTCATTGTGGAAGTATCTTAAGATTATTTTTTCTTAAAAAAATAGTATAATTATTTTTGAATACTCTCCATTTACCATGATTAATTGCTAATCAACGCAGTTGACAACTACTGTTTTTACCAGCACAGTACAGATGAGAATCAAGGACTGACATAACCGTCCATTTCTTATTCAAGTACCATAGTGACTATAGTACCATAGGAAAGATCACACTGAAGGAATGACACAGCTGTCGCTGACAACACTGCAGGTTTACAGGCACCCAGAAAAGAGGTCTGTTTAGTGTGCTAAATCAATGGCGGACTATTCAGAAGCCCCTCCACAGCTGTAAGCCAAATGAACTTTGGTGTTTGGCAAGTCATGGCCAGGGGCCAACTACTACTGTGCAAACTCTAACTGGTCATGTCAGGACCACAGAGTTAAAACTATCAGACTAAACTAATCTCTAATTGACTCACTTGAGAAAGGACACTGCTTTAAAGATTGTTCAGTTGAAACTTGTTTTAGGCACAAAGGTTGTTTTTAAGTTCAAGAAAATGTCTGCAGTAGCTTTTCCTTCCAAGTGCCAGAAAACAGCATTACATGTATAAACAGAACTTTACTATTCATAATCCACATATCTGTGTTTTGATAAGAACATAAGAAAAGTTAGAAATGACCGGAAGCCATTCATTTGCTAGTTAATTGATCCAAGGATCTTAACGAGATGTTTCTTGAAAGAAACCAGGGTTCTGGCTTCAGCAACATGGCTGTTTTTTCCTTACTCCCACAACCGTTTTGGGAAAGAAGTGCCTCCCAAACTCGGTCTTAAACCGCACTTAAACATAGGTTCCACTTGTGCTCTCTGGTTCATGTTTCACTGAACATTCTGAAGACATCCGCTGGGCTGACAGTGACTTTGTCAGTCTTTGAAGATTTTGAATACATGTATCAGGTTCCCTCTTTTGTGTTCAAGACTTTTTTCTGTTTCAAAATATAGTTAATTCAGTTCCTTCAACCTGTCAGTATAAGAGATAATTCCTTTAAACTCTGGAATGTATCTAGTTACTTTTCTCTGGACTCACTCCAGATCAGGAATGTTTTCTATTATGTGGTGACCAAAAATAAACCAAATATTCTTAAGGCCTTAATAGTGTTATACAATATTAACTTAACACATGTTGATTTAAATTCTAACTATAACCTAGAACTTTGCTGTTTTTTTAATCCCTTTTTCACATTGTCTAGAACATCTAAATGACATGTCAACACCTATTTTTCACATGTAGCAGAAGTAGTGTTCTGTTTCCCATTTTGTATTTATATATTTTTTTACTACGTGCACTATGTCTAAATTAAATGTCCTTTGCCAGTTTTTTCCCTAGAAATTTTATCTAATTAATATAAATTTTATTTGCTGTTTCGACAGTGTTTGCTAATCATCCTAATCGGACATCATCGGCAAAACTACCTAGTTTACTATTTGGAATAAATTAAAAAGAGCACTGGTCATAGTACCGATTCCTTAGGTACTTCACTAATTACATCACCCCCATATTGAGTTTTAACCCTTTAATTGTATCCTCTGTTTTCAATTTAATAGTCAATTCTCAAAACAGATTTGTGTTGTCCTGAATGCCTTCCACTTGCAATTAAATAATTAATTTTTCTGGAGAACTTTATGAGGAACTTTCTGAAAATCTGAGTAAACCATATCATATATCTTGTGTGCATCCATTATAGTTATTGAACACTAACAAGTTGGTTAAGCAAGAGCTAGCTTTTCCAAATCCATGCTGACTGTTTCTTAGGATATTATTTTATATAGGTGATTCTCTAGTTCATTCTTAATAATCAATTCCTTTGCCATATGTTTTGAATGTACCCTGTATCCCTTGGATAGAACCTTCATAAACTTACTAATTCTAAATTTTATACAGCATTTCAAATCTTACAGTGTATCTTGGCATTAAGTGTAAAAAAAAAAACATAAGATTCAAAACCTTGACTGCCTGCTCGAAGTTGAGGACCTTCCTGTTCACTTGATTGCCAATCATGCCAGCATCCATCTTGGGATCCATCATTTCAATGGCAGACATGGCTTCAAACAGGCCAAAACTGAGAAGACCAAAGGAACACATTTAAATGTAAAAGAAAAAAAGGTTTAATCTCAGTGTAAAACTCAAAGTATTAGCTCTATAAGACTGAATTATTAGTGCCCTTTGTGTATGAAGAGTAGAAAAATGTATTACAGATATTAGAAAAACCAAAGACACAGTAATAGCTAAACTGAGCCATTCTCCCGTTTTTTAATCTTGTTTTCTTCGTTTCTTTTGATTTAGTAAATGTTCTTTAACATGGCCTTATAGCTTGACTGTCATTGATTATATTCCATTTTGCTCAGGAACCATAATGAAGGTGGAAAAAGAAGCTTTGAGAATTGGAGCCATCTGTGGTATTACTAGATTGAAAAAAACTGGAACACAAAAGGTGACAAACATACCAAAACACACATTTCAGAATTAATTCATTTAAATGACCAAAAAGAGAAAGAAAAGAATGTCAAACCAGCAGCCATCAGCATAGCAACACATTTCTCTATTAACTCTGTTATTACTCAGTTAACAGTATGCACCTGAAAAAAGGAAATGCATACTGAAAGAACCTCAAAGCTCAATCCTGCAACTCAGCCCTCAGTATGGAAAAAACATAACATATTGCTGGAAAGTAATTACTCTTCAAATTCTGTATTTTTGGAAAATTAGATGTACATTCAACATTCAAACATCTGCCAGAACAAGGGATGTGATAAACCAGGTGCACAAGAAGCCATGCAGGTCAGTTCTTTGTACTCACAGTTTGTCATGGAGCAGTTCTCCAAGCTTCAGTTCTGCATAAAAAAAAAAACATACACAAATGGGAAAGGATCTCTTGACCTCCCTACTCAGAAACAACTGGACTTTCTGCCACACAACAAATAACTTGATTTAAAAGGCAGTTTTAAAATCTGGTTGTAAAAACTGGAAAACACAATGAAGTCTATGCCTTTTCAAGGAAAATGATTTACCCTAAATAAGATGCTGTACATCAAGATTCCCTAAAATGTGCTATGGTTAAACATGACATGCAACATACAGTATATAGAACAAGTCAGATTTTGAACTGGCAAATCTATTTTAGGTTCACTATAAGACACTGTAATATAAGCAAACTTGCAAGGATGAGGGGCAGGGGGAACAGGTGGCTCCAGGAAAGAAGCACACAACACTGTAATAAAAAACTACTTTATATACATTTTTTTTTACTGATTATGCAATCAATAATATATTTTTTTAAAAATTAGGCCGCAGTTATGCTTTACCTTTACAAGCCCCTTTGAAGTCCAGGGTGATATCCACCCAGTTTGCGTTATTCTTCATCTTCTCTGGAATTCCAAGCCCCCAGCCAGCATCATCATCCTCAACAGATGACTTCATTACCATGACAACAGCTTCAGACAGATTAACAAACAGATGCCTTAATTGGGATCTGCTCCAACAAAGCTCTTTCACAGCTTCACCTTTTTTTTTTAAATTATAAGAAAGACAGGCTGGCTAATTCATAAAAGTACTGTATAGTAAACCAGAGCCAAGAAGTATTTTTGTCTTATTTTGAATGAATTACCAGGAAGAACAAAAAAAAATCCTTTCAGTAGATGAACATGAAAAGAACTGTCGGAGATAAAATAAGAATTGAAAGCACTGTGGGGGTGTAAAAGGAACACCCTGATCCCAAATATTATTAAATACATACAACCAGCAGCAGTATGATATTTGAAACCTTTTTTTCCCCCAGAACGTTAAACAAAAGAATTCTGGAACAAAAAAGCTAAATCATCAGTTACACTGTCTGACAATAAAGGGTATCTATTTAAATGTTACTTAGAAAAAGATTACTTTTTTAACTTATGCAAGAAAAGTGATTCAATGAAGTGTATGTTTATTTAAATGTGTAGGTTCAGAATCTCTGTTAATCTCTATCTGCATTATTTACCTATAAAGAAAACAACTTTATGAAAAAGTTAAAATCCATATACAAGTAACAGGTTTATTCCATGATGAAAAAAGAAGAAAACACAGCCAAAATGTTGCGTTTTCATTCTTCTCTTTTCAGCATGGAATAAACCTATTATTCCTTTACAGCCTACTCATGCTGATGCAGCTACCCACCTGAACTAATAATCCATTTACTATACATACACATACGTCATTATCCTGTAGCCTACTTATTGCTCCAGCACCTGGTCTAATGGATAACTTGTGTAGGTGGTTGCACCCGGATGGAGGTTGTAAGCAACTATTGTAGATAAACATGTACACTAAGGAACAGGTAAAGGTGACACCTGAAGAAGGCTCCAAAGCCGAAACACTGTGTCTCTTTTCTTTTCACCATGGAATAAACCTTCATCTGTTCCTTTGCAGCCTACACATGCTGACACAGCTACCTATTTGTACACTAATGTACACTGTCATTATGGTACCATTAATGACATACTGTATGCACATACTTGGATATACTGTAGTTTTGCAAACAGGTCCCCAGCCTCAATTTTCAACAAAATTAATTTCCATATTCCTGTTGCAAAACAGGAAATAATTTTGTAATGTGAAGCTGTGATAAACCGGCATAAAGTTAGTGATAGCCTTGCTTTAAAACTTTTACACAATGTGTCAGAATATCAACTGTTATTCACCTGCAGTTATCCACAAAGGAAAGAACATTACTCGGACAAATCTCAGGTAAAGGCTAGAGTACCTAATCTAGATATTCATTTCTGTCCATACAATTTTATTACAGAGACCATTAGACACAAAAATGGGAGAGATGCAAGAAACATACACTGCAAAAATTAACCAGTACAATTCTGTTAAGAAAAAGCACAGAGCCGCTGAATGTAGAAAACCATTTCTACAATAAAAAGACTTAATGAGTTGTATGAATACGGATATTAAGGAAAAAATTGGTAAAAAAACACGTGACATATTTGATCAACACAAATGTCAACAGAGATCTGAAACTGCAAATAAGGCCTCATTATGTTAATTGTGTACATTAGATGGCATGGGTTTTAGACATACTGTAGATCAGCCAGCACTGAAGCCTAAAAAGGCCTAAATGTCTGGATACAATGCAAATCTCTCACTCTACCCTAAATGTGAGGAAACATCTGAATGGCTTCAGATTCCATGCATCAACAGAAAGCTGCTTCTGCTAAGGGTCAGTGTAACCTGGAGCTTACGCATGTACAGTACCCTTGCACACATCGGCTGTTTAGGGAATCCACTTAACCAAGTCATACAAATTTGTGAGAAAACTTGAACAGAACTTAGTAACCACCTCTTGGTGACTCTTGGCTAGTGATGTGACTCAGGTGTAAACCCACAACACCTGAAAAGCAGATCTTAACCTCCACTGGGGCAAACGCCTTTAGTGGCTAAGCCATGCAGAAAGCCAATAGTTTCCTTTCTTGAGACTCTAAGAGACTTTACAGTTTTCAGAGGATTACCAGATTGTGTCAAGAATTCAGCGTGTGGTGTGATAAATACATCATTTCATTTTTGCATCTAATAATTGTTGAAAAAGTAAATTATTATAGATTTCGGGGACAAAAATCTATTTCTTAAGCTGTATGTCAGAGCTTTCAATTGACAAAATATATAGAACTTAGTAAGGCCTTCATGCAGAATACACAAGTCAAGCAATCACAGAAAGGCGATTCAATGTACTCTCTAGCACAAAGGGAATTTTTTTTTTTAGTTCTTCTGACCAGATATACTGTATTTTGCTTTATTCTTGGGGCAATTAAACTAAATCTCCGTTTTTACAGTATTAGGGAATTATAATGGAAACAAACAGATTTATTTCCTGAATCCCTTGAAAATAAATAGGCCCTAACACATCACCTGTACATTTTGATACAGCGCATAACAGAACACAGTACGGCTGACTAATAGTACAAGTGCAGTTTTCAGTTTAGAATAACATACAACATAGCTGACTACTGATTTCAACAGACTAAAGAGGTGCAAACATAATGACTGGCATCTTTATCTCACATCAGTAAGACCACTTGCTAGAATTAACAAGCGGTCAGCAAACACAGAAAAATATAATTGTCAAAAATAGTATTTTCAGTAAAACGTCTCAGCTACAAGGTGCCATACGTATTTCTGGATGTTTCCAGTCAGAATTAACCACTGCGCTTCTGTACCTGTCTGACTTCAGTCAAACGCAACAAAAAATTTCAATATTGAATATTTTTGCTTGTATAGGTAACCTTGTCTCTAAAAAAACTATCTAAACTATAAAAGTCGTAATGTCTGTTAATATGCCCTCATAAAACACAAAGGACACGTATTATGACAAGGAGTTTATAAGAACACATCATGCATTTTTGCTCTTATGTGAACAAAATCGAAAATGACTTGCATATGTACGTAGAAAAATCAAAGTACATCAGAAAAAGGTTGGCCACTTAAAAAGTTCGTTCATTAATTTCTTTTATATCTAATTTGCACAGGTGTCTGCAACAACATACTTAAGCTTTAGGTACAATATATCACTGACGAAATAAAATACATCCACAAAATCACACTAAACCAAGCCAAAAAGTGAACCTTAAGTAAGACATTCATTTTAATTATATTTAAAATCGCAACTTTGTAATATATTTTAACATCATATTCAAACAGAAGCACGATTTCTGTTACAGTAAGGCCTGACATAATTTTAATAGTTTTAATTCTATACTGAAGGATTTTTTAAGTCCGTACTGAAACATAAAAAAACATTACAAAGCGCAGCAAACTGCATTACGTAATTACAAATGCACTAACGCCTCCAGTTCTATCATACCTGATTAAAAGCTGATTAAAACGTTGTCTGAAAGAATTCAAATAAAAGGCCATACAAACTGTTTCCTTGGCATGAAACACCGAATTGCATTCTGGGAAATGTTGTACCCATACCAATCCCAAATGAACAACGACAGCTAATAGGTGCTGATTATAAACTTCAGTCCCCATAAGCACGTACTCTGCAACGTCATTTTTCCTCGCCAAAAAATCGTTCAAAACTACCAATCCCTTAGTCCTCTGCATTCTCGCGAGATTTAACAAGTATTGACAGCAATGGTTCTGGGAATCGGATGCTGTTTGTATCAAAACATTTGGGCGTCTCTTAGCTCGTACTGAAGAGCTGACTTCCCCGTATGGGACATCGCTTGCCTCAGCGATCGGTTTGTATTGTTTAAATGCCCTTAAAATATGAATTTGTCTCTGGAGTGCAAGCTATTTTCAAAGAGCATGTTGGCATTCAGCAGGTGCAATAGAATGTGTGCTATTCCAGTTTTGTCTCAAACACTACAGCACTAGCAGCAGAAGGCTGACAGTCGTTGCAGGTGTCAGGCCCGCTTGCAGGGAAGCTGCACACAGCATGATGTTGCATTAACTCGCTGCAAGTTGTTATAGTTACGGGGTGAACATATATAGCATGCCACAGACTGTTGCTCACTAATTACATGGCATGTCAGGTCACGTCTGCCACATGTACTGTACATGCATAAGATGTGTATTATATATTTGATTTTGTGCAATCATGTATTGTAAGAAAATTAAGGACGATGAAGAGCTATTTCCTATATATGGACGATTTATTGATTGTTCGATGTATTTTATATTGGCTTTCGTAGCTGCCATGACACCTGTCGTATGAGATACTTTTATTTTTCTTCCATTTTAGACTGCTAAATGAGTCGATTCATTTTCAAGTTTGCAATAATGGGAACATTGTGTTAATGCGATAAATGTAGATACATGTATTAACTTGGGCAATTAAGAAAAGGCATGTGATAGAACCACAATTAAGTTTAAATTCAAGCTAATAAACACCAAAATTCCATATAAGGATTTATCATTCTTGTATAAGTGTGGGAATCTCCATAAGGTGAACTAATCTGCTTCTTAACTGTAAGACTTTCCTTCTTTGCGTTTTAAATTTTCATGTAGAACACTACAGATCCAAATTCACAATGTTTCGTGAACTTGAACAATGGCGTTGATCAGATTGGCATTTATTAAATTATCGCCGCTTTGTTAAGTGTTCTTTTGATATGACTCGGTGAAGATGATTGCATTTGCTATTCAGGACGTTTCTGAAATTTGGAACTTCGTTTTTTCTTAATTTAAATACCTTTGGCATTGACAATGTACAGTATTACTAGTTAACATCAGAGATTTCGGCGAACTTTTGTTAAATCTTAAAGACAGTTGTAACCTCCACCAAATAAAAATGCATTTATGTATCATCCACATATATTTGTAGGTATGAGGTTAATTTCACTCTGAAAATTAGTAAGAAAAAGCTCCATGTTGTTGAGAAAAGCTTTGAATGCATTCATAACGTCTTTCTCCATTTTCTTTTAATTGTAAGTATTTTAATCAGTAGGTTGTGAATAGAGTTTAAGCCAGTTATAATACAGGATTTATGGATGTACCCAACATTGAGAACTTTATTAAATTTCTAAATCTCCAGTTCAGCTGTTACCTAGTATTTTGATTCCAAACTAAAGCATGTTCTTTCATGCTTTTTATTCGTTATCTCTTATTATTGTCAATGTACTGCAACTTGGTAAAAGAAAAAGCCCTGGTGATTCAAGGTCAGTTCAATAGCTACAGTATGTGTTGAACACATCAGCTGCAGATTCCTCACAGCTTGTTTTATCAAGCACCAGCCTTCAATATATTTGTTGAAGAGGAGGTTCAGAAATAGAAGTGCACAGCACAAATTTTAAGTTGTTACAATAGCCTGACACTTTTCAGATCCCCAGGAGAGTTACCGTTGTGTGCATTACGCTAACATATAACTTTTTTAACCATACACAGTACTTTAAAAGAGGGCTTTAAAAGTACATCTTTATGGTGGTATTATTTATAATATTGACTTGTTATTATTTGATACATGTTGGGGCAGCAGAGTGTAGTGGATAAGATTGCTACCTTTCAGCTCTGGAGCCCTGGGTTCAGTTCCAGACCTGAGGTGCCATTGGCATGGAGCTTGTATGTAGTCTTTGAGTTTGTGTGGTGATCTACTTTCAGTCCCATAGTCCAAAGACATTGTAAGGTTAATTGGTTTCTGGGAACAGTGGCCCTTGAGTGTGTGCCCTGCGATGGACTAGCCCAGTCCAGGGTGTATCCTGCCTTATGCCTGTTGTTTGCTGGATCACGTATGACCCTGTATTGGCTAAAGCAATAAGAAAATGAATGGAAAGACATAATGAATGGCTGCTGCCCAGTTAAGAGTTATTTTGGTATTATCTGTTCTTCTATTGTGATTTCTGGCCACTCAAGTTTTTGGTTTGATCTCAGACTACACAGAACGTTCAAGGTATCCACAAATTTGGAAGAACTTAATCATAATTAAGTCAAAATTATTTGCCTTTGAGCAAGTGTTTGTAAATGTAGCTGCAAATTTGCTCAGCATAGTAGTTGAGCAAGTACTCAGCAGTCAGTTGACCTCAGCAATGATCTAAACCTTTTATGCTTTTTGCAAAGATGCTATAAGATTCAAACATTTCTTGTATCTTCACAGATTTTTTTGTATTATGATTGTTTCACCAGCATGGCAGTATAATCCTAAATAAAAAATACACATACCTGCTTTTGAGTTAGGAAGTTAGAAAAATGACTTTATCAGCACTGTCCATTATACTACTGCCCAGTAATATACTATTTTTTATGAAGAAGGCTCCACGGCCGAAACGTTGTGTTCTCTTTCTTCTTTTTTTTCAGCATGGAATAAACCTATTACTTGTATTTTTTATTATTATTGATTTGCAGGGCCTTTAAAATGATGAAGTGAAACGAAGCAAAATGAATAAGCCAAAAATGACAACCGATAAAGGGTAAGTTGTGATTACTCTTTCATTATAGGAGTGATTGTTGGAGATAAAAAAACATTAGTGAAAATAAACAAAGAACATAGTTATGTTTTCTGAAAAAAAAAAAAGATTTATGTGACAGAGGTGTGGATCAAATATTTCTTTTTAACCAGGTCAGTGATTGAATGTTTCTTTGTACAGGAATGCTTGGTTGAGCCTTACAGTATGTGGTCTGTATTTTTCTTGCCGGAATAATTGCTTTGAGGTGATTACTTTTCTAAGACACTATAAAATACTTGTTATTATAAAGAAGACAACATTGACCAGCAAATGAGTTGATAAGCTTTCTGCAGCAGTATTTGTGTCTGAAACACAACACAGGAATCATTCAATCACTCCAACTTTTATATACATACTGTACTCCTGCATACACTGTAGCTGTCAACCTTGTCTGCACAAAAATATGCAAAACAGAGACAACAGCGTTCTTCCATTGTATGTGATACTAAATGTGGTGGAGTGTCATCCACTGAAATTGAGCCTTTTGATAGTGTTGGGTTAAATATGTCCCAATTATATACAGTGGTAATGGTATTAAAACAGGCCTTGAAGATACCATACATGGTTATGTTCTCTGTTGTGTGTCAGTGGTCTATTGGCCTGTAATAGTGTTTGGCAGGAAAGGGTCCTATGAATGAAAGGACAGTGTGTACCATTTTGCCTCGTGCTATGTCACATATTAATGAACACTTTTGTGATGGTCTGCTACACTTTTTGTTTGTTGTTGGCGAGTCATCAATAGATATGTGGGAAACAATAGAAATGTGAACTCCAGTATATCAAGCAACATGTACTGTAGTGGGATCATGCCTGCTTCTCTTCTCCTCAAATCATTTTGCTGGGAATTGCGAACAAGACCAGGCATAGTGTCTTTTTAATAATGTGACCAGGCTATGTGATGTTTTAGGTTGTTACCTAACTGTGTCTTAATGCCGCACATGCTGCGATTTAGTTGTAACATGCATTTGTATCTTCTACTATCCTACAATTAAGAAGCAAATAGCTGATTTACTGTTTGTTTGTAATTATTGCTTTAAATCTTGACATAATTATAACTTGGGCTATGTTGTGTAGGATGTGGTGTATCAAATTGATAAACAGTAATTTTGACTATAATGCTGATAGTTTTGAAGCTCCTGTAATCATAAAAAAATATGATGTGTATTCCATGGATTGTGTTGTGCAGTCTTCATTTTTGTTATTTATTAAACAAAAATGTTTTAAAGCTCCTGTCACTTCACGGAAAGCTTATTTGTCCAATTACAAGGTTTATTCTCTAAAAAAACAAAGGGGGTGTACTCATGAAAAAGTGTAAAATTTTGAACTATCAAATATCATTAAGATTAGAATGAATATTGTTCACCTTAACATTTGTGTTTTATTATTATTAATCAAAGTCAAGGTTTGGAATTTGAGACTAAACTGATTTTTTTCCCTACTTGTGATCTTTGAGATGACTGTTTTCAAGTTAACCAGTGTCTTGATGTTGTCATGAAACAGGCACAAACAGAAATCTTTCCATGCAATGACAGCCAATAATTGATCTTGATGATGAAATTATCATGACCCATGAACACTTTTTGTCTGACAAATAATAAATAATTTAATTGTAAATTGCATTTTTTGTGTGTAGGTCTTGATTTCCTGATAATTTGTTTGCATTTTTTGTGTGTAGGTCTTGATTTCCTGATAATTTGTAGTGGAGGACAGCATGTTAGTACCAGTTAAAAGAGCTGAAAGAGGATAACATAGTTTGTGATTCTGTTTCGAGAAGTTTATTCGTGCTATAGAGTAAACCCAGGCTAATAAGTCAATGATCTCGTCAAACTGATTTTAAAATCAGATTTTAAAAGAAGGAACTCTGTGAGTTATTTTTTGTTAAAAATTGGGGAAATTTCCATTATAAACTTTCCATGTGCATTTTAATTTTATCTGAGAGAGATTGAGCCAAACAAAACATAGCCTGTATTTATATTTCCATTGGGCACTGTTTATGCTGTTTGAGAAGACTCAGATGCTCACTGCATGTCCTGAAGATGAAGGAGAATGGTGGCGTTTGCTATGGAGATTTTATACAGTTCTTATACTTAATGCACAAATGTAAAGTAATGGTTAGGAATTGCTCCAGTGATTGTCCTACTGTATAAAGGGGTCTACAGGTCTTCATTGCAAATGAATGTTTACTCAGATTTGATTTGCCTGGTGGAAAAAACTATTTGAAATTTAGAATGAAACTATTTAGGTTTCATTGTAGAAAGAAATTTTACATAGATAACTTTCACCCACCTGGACATCCCTGGCTGTTAGGTGAAAAATAAATACAGTTAACGTGTTAGATTGTGTTAATTTGATACTTGTGCCTGTTTTATTTCTCTCTAATTTATTTTTAACAGCTTATCAAAATTGTGTTTTATTTGACATTGGCAGGATTGCAAGTTATTTGCCAAGTAATTTTCGTAACAGTTACTATCTTTTTCTTTCCTAGTGAGAAAGCGACCCAAAGTAATTTTACCATCACCCACTCTAAGGATGCTAAAAAGTTACAAAAGTAAATTAAAATACCCCTTTTATTTTGATATTGAGCTTATTTCTCATTTTCTGAATAAGGTAGTAAAATGTGATGTAAAACTTTCATGAATATGGCTCAGTTTCTATCTACTTCATAGTTTATCAGGTTGCATAACTTTTTGTAATTTAAACACCACTTTGGGAATTGTCCTTTAGACAAGTGGTAAAGAAACTGATTTTAGGTATGTTAAAACTTGAAAGCCATGAAGCACATTTGATTACATTGATTCACTTAGGGGCAGAATAAGTTTAGCATGTACAATACATTAATAATTCCACCATCAGCATAAAAGCTTAGTACTGTGTGGAAAGAATAGCTAATTATCAAGTCATATTATAGACAATGTATAGTCATTTATTCTTTGTAATTTGACAAAGTGAGACTTAACTGGAAGGGGTGAATGCTTTTGTACAGCACTGTCATTTATGATATGCAGACTGTCAGGTCTGTAATAGTAATAGGTCTGTAATAGTTGATGTTTTTATTTAGATTTTTGCAATAGAGAATAGGTATGACCACAGTTCATATTTCTATGAACTGATCATTTCTGTATTTACATAGATACTTTATTGATCCCGTGAGGGAAATTGCAGAAGATCACTTTATTAGCCCTGTACAATATCTTGCATTAGGAATTAGTCTTTTTCGACATACTGTAGCCCAGCTTGCTCTCCATGAGACACAGACAGGTAGAGAAGCTGGGGATTAGAGTCCAGGGTCAGCCATTGTACAGCTCCCCTGGAGCAGTTGGGGTTAAGGGCCTTTCTCAGGGGCCAAATGGAGTTGGATTCCTCTGCCAGCTGCGGGATTTGAACCGGCAACCTCCCAGACACAGGCGCAGATCCTTAGCCACAGTGCCACAGCTCCGCCCATTTGTTGGTGTGTTGGCCTGTCATGGGGTATATTCTAGCCAGGGTGAGTTTTGTGCTCTCAGTTTAAAACTACAAAAGCAGGAAAAGATTTGGCCTTGTAAGCCACTTACAGCAGGTTTGTTTTTTATTGCTCTGTATGCTGTGGTTATTGTCAGTGTAGAGTGTGTTTATACCTGGCACCATTTATTCAAACAGAAACACTTTTATGGCCTTCCTTGGTTATGACCTAGGGCAGGCTTAATGCATTTCCAGTGGAAACTTAAGTGTTCCACTCATTCATATGTACAGTAGCACTAAGATAATTCCGTACTTATCAGGGCTTTTTGATATGCTAAAAAAAATATTATGAACATGAAGATGGTGACAGGCAGTCTTGACTTACAAATGGATCTGTGTTATGCTACCTTTATTTAAAATGATTTTGGAGTTTCTATAGCAGTTGAGGATACTAATCGTATAACTCAAACAGTGTTCCAGATTATGTACTCCATCAGTGTAAAATCGTTGCCTGCTTTTTTAGTACACAGTTTGCCATGTTATGAATAAGATGCTTTTAATGAAGTTACATTACCATATGGATTCATAGATCATGATTACAACCCTTCAGAATTTAAATCCCATTATTTACATCTCAGATGTCTCATCTGCTTTTCTTTTTTGCAATGCGCTGACATTAATGAGAGAATAAGAAGGGTTACAAATGAGAAGATGGCAATTGAGCCATCTAGCTGGATTATTTGTAAATAATTGATCCAAAGATATCATTTAGCCGTATCTTGAAGGAAACCGGGGTATCGGCTTCAACAACATTGTGGTGTAGCTTATGTATGCAATTCTCACACACTCCTTTGTGAAGTCTGCTGCCTCCTGATTAAGGATTTAAATGCACTTTTGCACAGCTTCCTCTTGTGCCCTCTTCTATATGTTTCATTGTTGAACTTGAATAAACTCACCAAGCTGACTTTGTTTAGTGCCTTCGAAGATTTTGAATACTTTTACCATGTACACCTTGTAGTCTTCTGTGGTTCATTTCTTTTAGTGTGTTAGTGTTGTATATTGTTTAAGCCCATGTGCTTGTTTGCTCTTCTGTGAACTCATTCCAAAGCAAATTTTAAATAATACATAATATTCTTTATGTGGTTTGACTAGTGCATTGTACCCATTTCCTTTGCTTTTTACTGTTTTTTTTTTTACTGTTTCTCCACATTGTCCTTAAGATGTAAAAGATGCATCAACATTTAGCACCTACAGTAAGTCTATTACTACTGTAAGTAGCCTCTTCAAACTCAGTGTTTCAAATTTTGTACTTATAATTTGGTTTTTGCTTATAGGCACTTGATTTCTTTGTTCACATAGAGAATATTAAATCAGACATACTGGGTTAAACAAATTTATGAATTTATTAATATGTAATAATAATGGCAAATAGACCCACTAAGAACACACAACATATAATGAAACATACAAGTTAATCTGTTTGCAAACAAGGCATTGCCGAGGTCCACCTCCTGACCAACCAGACC